TGTACACAAACGGTCCCGTGCAAGGCCAGTGGCAGCAGTCTCGCACGGCGATAGCACAAACATCGCCATTCGTGTCACTGCAACTATCATCAGGTCCGCCGTCATCCACAAACGTTCTGCAAGATCGGCATTCGCAGGCGTCAGAACGAGGATTGAGTGTTGACATGATAGTGGTGTGCGCTGTGTTGCGAGTGTTGAGTGCCAGTATCAGTATAGCCGGGTGACGAAGCTGGGGGCCAGCTGCGTTCAGCTGGAAGCCGGGCGCAGTTCAAAGCCTCACTGCCCATCCGGGTTTGCACCATGTTGATCCGGGTGCTGACGAATCTCCGACCACAGCGTGACACCAATCGGCCACGCCGCGACCGCAGCATCCGTAACTCAGCCTCATCACGGCCACTCCAGACGGCCACACATCACATACAGCACGGCGACCGTCCCAACACACCACAGCTGGAAGGCAGGAGAGGGGGGAGGGGAGGGGGGGGGGGACTCCGCACGCGGCTCGGCCCGCCGACAGCCGTGACCTGGCAGTCCAGCCACTGGCCCGCTGGCTGGTGACCACGTGACCGTGACACGCCAGCTGGACGGTGACGCAGCAGCCGGCGGACAGTCGGCGGGCCGCCGGGCCGGCCGCGCGGCGCGCCTCACCAGATTGGCGTGTACGGTGGCCTCCTCGATGTACTTGGCCACGCCCGACACGAAGGCAGTGCGATCCTCGAAGTTTGTGTCGAAGTTGGCGTGGTAGGCGACCGAGCACGCCTGTGCCTCGATACAGGGCTGCTGGTCAGGCAGTGACAGCTCCTCCAGGACCTCCACATTGGAGAGTGCGTCCTCCAGTGTCACCTTGTCTGAGGCCATGGTGGCTGCTGCTGGCAGGCAGCACATGCAAACTGTCAGCAATAGCATGCATCTGCTGCTCATCAATCACATGTTGCCATGTCCACTGGCACAGATGTCAACCTACTTGAAAAAGTTTTGAAGATTGGTGTGAAATCATGACTAGTCAGTATACATGTGAAGAGGCAGTGCTTTATTCTGAACAGATTATGTAGTGGCATTATCTGATCTGACATAAAGTACACAAAATTGATACATTGTCTGTCTGGGAACTAATCATGTTTAATATCATGTTATTTTGGATACTTGGGTGCACTGACAGAAAAATTTGAATGAAACACATCTCAGAAAATTCAACTTGCTTAGGAAAGAGAATGCTGGCTGTAATTTCATACCAATCTGCTGTCTTCAAAGCTTTTACCTCACCTACTTTTCTGGACTAGGTAAATGATCTAATAAAGGCTATTGAAGGTGACCTTAGGGTGACACGCTGCCTTATGTGGATAAACAGCAATAAAGCATGACAAGAAAATAAACTACTGACTTATAACCAGCTATATAGCCATGACATGATACCAACAACATCTATTAATTTGTGCACTGATAGTTGAAGTATACAATGCATGGCAGAGATATCATGTGTGAATAATTATCTTTTTCAAATGCCATTTTACACACAGCTGTTGTATGAGGCTTAGTTCTTCATTTCATACATTCCTAGAACAGTCACTGCATAATATGCATTAATGATATTTACAAAACAAAGATATCATGTCAACTTGCCTCAGAAAATATTTCATAATCTCTCTACAAACAATCTCAATGATCCCAGTAATTTTGATTAGGAGCATCAAAGTGTAAAACTTGACAAGACTGTGCATACTGTGCAGAAATGGGTCAGGGTGTACTTTCCTACCTAACATTAGAAAAAAATCATTGTACACCATTTGTTGTGCTTAAGGCAGGACATATCATAAATAATCACAAAACAGGTAGATTCATGGTCTTACCTTCGATTTTTAAAAATAATTATGATGGCAAGCTCCCGAGCACCGCACACACACACAGCAGCCGCAACACCAGCGATTACTGTGCGTGGTCACAACATTACTGCGCATCAAGCAGCATCAAGAACCATAAAAATGTACCCGCCAAGGTAACAAGAACCCATGAAATTTGATCCTCAATGCCGACCTGGACGATGGGTTGCAGGGAGATTGGGTGGGGAATGTAAAGCAAAATGAGAACATGGGGCCAAATAAAGCTCACTATATGGCACCTATAACATGCATGGACCATGGACACTAATGGGACACTGGGTTGCAGGGGATATGGGGTGGGGAGGTTAGTTAGGCTAGGTTAGGTTAGATTAGGTTAGGTAAGGTTAGGTTCAGTTGGTTTGGTTTGGTTTGGTTTGGTTCAGTGGGTTGGGTTAGGTTAGGTTAGGTTAGGTTAGGTTAGGTAGGTTAGGTTAGGTTAGGTTAGGTTAGGTTAGGTTAGGTTAGGTTAGGTTAGTAGTCAGGTTGGATTCTACCTGTTTTGAGATTATTTATGATATGTGCCGCCTTAAACACAACAAATGGTGTGCAATGATTTTGTATAATGTTAGGTAGGAAAGTACACCCTACACCTAGAAACAGCCATGTAATATATAATAGCCACAACCTCTATTATGCTTTTACCTTTGCTCAGTTAGGACAATGCCAGGTCATTTCCATCATAGTAAAGGGACATATTTCATTGTTATGGTCTTATAACTTGCATCATAGGAATTCTGCATGTTCATGAATACTTGTATCATGTATACCACTTCCACTCTTTTTTTGGAAACTCTGACAAACTGCAGGTTGACGGCCTGCAGGTTGGCCCATATTGATCAGTTTGCAGCACAACAATGGTGGCAGTGCATGGTGTTGGTCCAACACATATTGAAGAACTAATCCTGCTGCTATGAAGAAGCAATATTTTTAGAAACCATGATCATGATGGCATGGCCAGAAGGCTGCAACACCTAAACATGAAAAGTGCAGTGCCAATTACTTCATTTTACAATGTTATCAGCAGGTCAAAATAAAGGTACAAACACTGAACGGTTATACTGGTACATAAATCCCATATGCTTTAAGAAATTGGCACTATATTGACTTCCTATCTAAGCTACATCTACTTTGATAAGCCTCAAATGCGTGGTCCGGTATAAGTTGCACAATGTGGCGCACTCTATAAAGACTGAAGAGCATCGGGTCGGAGAGTACTGGTAATTCGCCATCGCAAAACGAGTAAAAAAAATCAAATGAACAAAGCGGTACCATGTAGTTCGATCAGCATCGCTCACCTTATGCGAAGTTGCCGAAACAGACCCCGGACTTGGGCGGTTTCCCACACACTTTGACTAATAACGCAGAATTTTTTGTTGATATTTGTTAGCGTTACCATATGCTTCCATTTCACAAGCTTTTCTTTACTACGCTCTCGTCCCAGATGCAGCTACTTCCCACGCTCCCCGCACTGTAACGGCGGGAAGGTACATTCAGAGGCGGCACATTAGAACAACGGAGGTTGGTAGGGCCGTTGTGTGCGAAAACTCCGTATTCCTGCATTTACTCAGCGTCTGGCTTGCGATTTAGATAAAATATCAATATCATGGATGGCTGAAGGTTTTCTGAAAGGGGAGATCCTGAGAGATGAACTTGAAATTGTTTGGTGTTGCGCGTGAGCCACGGATTTGTCTGCTGCTCCACAGTGAAATTTGAATTTAAAGGTCGCCGTGGTGTTTGGTGAGACTGTCATACAGGTAGATCTAAAATCGTGTCATGGTCAATATTCGCATAATTTGTTAACAGAATGTAATGTGTAGTTTGTTTTCGGATGATGTGCCTGCAAAGTATAAGGCCAGTATGCAGTTAACCATACTGGAAACATAACCATAACTATTGATTTTCCAATCAGGTTGTAATGCCATTAGCTATTTATGGAGGATTGTGGCAGGGGCTTCCCCCAAATAAATTTTTCACATTTAGTTGAGTGATGTAAAGATATGAAGTTGAGTCAGCCTTGTTGAATTTCACATGAACTTAGGAATGGGCTTATGCAAGTGTGTATAGTATTTGTGTTTTTTGGATCTTCTAAAAGCTTGCAGAATCTTTGTTGTAGTGAGTCAAATGGTTACTGAAAATTTGTCATAGGGATGAATGTATTATGTCTGTCTATAGAACAGAAGTATTCTGAAATTTCAAGTTACATGTGCAGCACATCTTGTGTTCTCAAATTGTATTAAGGATTAGTTTAAGCATCAGCATTAAACATGCATCTTTCCATGCCAGTAACCACACATCTAAGACTGGGATGTACGACAGGATTTGGTGGGTGGAGCAGGAATCTGAGGGAGACAACATGGCCTGAAAATGGTGTATTGAATGGGGAAATGGGGAACTATGGGTATGATTGATAAAATTAAAAGGAACAGGATCACATTTCTGGAAGGTTTGGGAGAATTGTCTCCTGTCAAACAGGGAACATACCCATGCATCTCACTAATGTATCTGGAAATGAAAGATCATGCTGTGTTTAGTGTTTAGTAAAAATGTACATTGTGTGTATGTTGATGCATCAACTACTGAAGCTCCAGTGCATCACAGTGCATATGGTGAACATTTGGTAAAGTTTTACAGTGGTATAGGATCATTAAAAGCATTTAAGCATTAAAACTTTGCACATCTAGCACTCACCAATGTTAAAAATTGTTTGCACTTTGTTGAATGGGATGGGGTGCAGCTGAGTATAAGATCTGAGTATCATGCCTAATGCCAAGTAGATGAGTTGACCTCAATACACAAACTGGTTACAGCAGCACTGATGCAGGGAACAAACATGATGGGCATTTGGCATGATCTTTCTTGCAATTTAATATAGGATTTTCATGTACCTGGTTGTACCTGGTTTCATGTATCAGCTTACATTGTGTTCTTGTTGCCAGCACCAGCTATGTGTAAGATAATAGGATGCTCTAAGTGGCATCAAATGCAGATGTCAGTCCTGATGACTGCTTATGACATGATGACCCAAGAACCCTGATTAACATTATGATTGTGCAGTTCCCACCAGTGGGTCACATTACACATTGTCTTCTACAGTTTGGACGTGCTGCCACTGACACCTTCACCATGGACCTGGAGGCGCTGCGGGCGGTGGTGCAGCGATACATCCACAACCACATGTACCAGGCAGCCTGTTACTGGGCAGACAAGGTGTTCTCACTCTCGGGGGAGGCGACCGAGGACCTGGTGACGCTGGCGCACTGCTACCTGCTGATCAAGCAGCCACAGCGGGCCGTGCAGCTGGTGCGCAGCTCCGGTCTGCACCGCACGCACGACGAGTGCCGTTACCTGGCGGCGCGCGGCCTGTACGAGACGCGCGCCTTCCAGGAGGCGCTGGCCGTGCTGCAGCCGGAGCTGGAGGAGTCGCCGGCCGGCCGCGTGCCGCTGCTCGACATCGCCGCGGTCGGCGGCGGACGCGACGAGCCGGCGCACCTGCTGCTGCTCAAGGGCCGCGTGCACGAGGCGCTGGAGAACCGGCCGGTGGCGGCGCAGTGCTACCGTGCCGCGCTCATGGCCGACGTGCTCTGCCACGAGGCGTTCGACGCGCTGCTCGGCCACCAGATGCTGACGCTAGACGAGGAGCGCCAGCTGATGGACGCCCTGCCGCTGGAGCGTCAGCTGCCGGCCGCCGACGCCGACGCTGTGCGCCGGCTCTACCAGCTGCAGCTCAAGAAGTACACGGCGCCGGAGGAGGCGGCCGACGCGGCCGTCCCGCCGCCGCTGGCCGCCAACGCGGACGTGATGGCGTGCCAGGCTGAGCAGCACTACTACAACTGCGACTACGCGCGCTGCTTCCGGCTGACATCCGAGGTGCTGGAGCGGGACCCGGACCACGCGCGCTGCCTGCCCGTCCACATCGCCTGCCTGCTCGAGCGGCGCAAGACCAACGCGCTCTTCCAGCTGGCGCACCGGCTGGTGGACGCCTACCCGGAGAGCGCACTCGCCTGGTTCGCCGTCGGCACCTACTACTACGCCATCGGCAAGATGGAGCCGGCGCGCCGCTACCTCAGCAAGGCCACCACGCTGGACCCCGTGTTCGGGCCGGCGTGGCTGGCGTACGGGCACAGCTTCGCGCTGGAGAACGAGCACGACCAAGCGATCTCGGCGTACTTCCGCGGCTCGCAGCTGATGCGCGGCTGTCACCTGCCGCTGCTGTACGTCGGGCTGGAGTACGGCCTGACCAACAACGCCCGGCTAGCACGCCAGTTCCTGGGCCAGGCGCTGGCCATCGCGCCGCGCGACCCGTTCGTGCTGCACGAGCTGGGCACCCTGCTGTTCGCCGGGCGTGAGTACGCCGAGGCGGAGCGGCACCTGGCGGCGGCGCTGCAGCTGGTGCAGCAGGAGTGGCACACGGTGGCTGCCGACCGCTGGGAGCCGCTGTTCAACAACCTCGGTCACACGTACCGCAAGCTCGGCCGCTACTCGGACGCGCTGGAGGCGCACGAGCAGGCGCTGGTGCTCGAACCGCACAGCGCATCCACCTACGCCGCCATCGGCTTCACGCACGCGCTCATGGACCAGCCGGCCAAGGCGGTGGACGCGTTCCACAAGGCGCTGAGCCTGAAGCGGGACGACGCCTTCAGCACGCAGATGCTGGGCAGCGTGCTGGAGCAGCTGCTGAGCAGCCAGGCGCGGCTGGACGAGCCGTCCATCGCGCTGCTGGCGGCGGACGGGGCCACGCCCGCCCCGTCCGTCACGCCTTGCGCCGCCTCGGCGGCCGCGCTGGCCGCCGCCAGTGACGTCAGCCTACGGATGATGGACTCGAGCGGTGACATGAGCCTCGAGCTGGACGATAAGTAGGTGGGCGGGGTGCGGGGCGGTGCCGCGCTGGCCGCCGCCAGTGACGTCAGCCTACGGATGATGGACTCGAGCGGTGACATGAGCCTCGAGCTGGACGATAAGTAGGTGGGCGGGGTGCGGGGCGGTGCCGCGCCGGCCGCGCCGGTGCCTGCGGGACGGAGGCTGCACATCTGCGACCAGCGGCCGGCGCTGCGCCGTGTTACTATGGCGGGTCTGATTCGTTCTGGGCAGTGGTCGCAGCGCCGTGAGCGTTTGATTTGCTGGATGGACAGCGCCACGGCGGCGTCCGTCGGACTGCCGATTTTTCCACCAGTCGGCAGGCACTGAGTGATCAGTGATCGGTCTTTCACGGCAGACCCACAGCTTAACATGATGCATCATGTTACCGTTGTTCTTCGTTGCTGATGCATTGCGGCATACGTGCGCATGGTGCAGCCATAGTATTTGCCCCCGCGACATCGCACGGATAGAAATGTGTTTCGGACGACGCCATTATCGGCGTTTGTTCTCCAGTGTCATGTCTACCAGGTCGATAAAATAACAATGCTTTTGTCGAGTCGATTGTCTGTGACGTTTATATCTTGTCTGTGTTTCCGTGTCAGATGCCATCTATTGCGCGCTGGAAACCGTTCCTAACAAAATATTAAGAAAAGAAGAAAGTCAGAAATGAGTGAGAAGTTGTTTTTGAGCGTCAAGCAGATCTGTGTCAGACAGGACAGGTAACAGACAGATAAGTCTGCAAAATGTCGTACTTGCTGTAAAACAATATTGCATGCTGTCGACCTTATTTGTGCCTGTCCACGTCTGTCATCTAGAAGCTACTTTACGTAAATGATTGCCGAAATTTGGGCAGGGAAGCGGCCAGCAGGTGTCGTTTATGTTGTGGCAGTTCCGTTGCTACCATTCTGATTGGCTTGGTTCCATGAACGTCTGCGACCGCAGGCAAGCTATGACAACCACGTAAAAATGGCGGGGAATCCGGTTGGCTGGTTGCGCAAAATGTACGGCTCCGGGCAGGACGAGCATGGCATCACGTAAGTGGCGTTCAGTGACATGTGAGAACTATCCTATTATCCTGGATAATAGGATAGACGTCTTACCTGCACCGTCTTAATGCAGCATCTTAATGCCTACGTTAGATTTTGTGGATCTGGGATGTGGACGATGTCGTTCTTGCAGTATTCACCCTCAGCGCTTGTTACTGCAGTTTTGCGAGGGGGGGGGGTGGCATGAAACTACGCGTGCCTGCAGCACGCGCAGTTTTATGCGATTTTTTCATGCGGTTTCTTCGTTTTCAGTGATTTGCTATCACATTGCCTCCCCTTCTGACTTCCTGCGTACGCTACAGCTTTCAACCATAAGAAAAACGGATGTGTACTAGTGAAGTAGATGCCGTCGAGTGTGAGATCCGGGTCCGAACTCCGGTTGCGCCATGGCCCCCGACGCTAATATAATATGGCCTCTACAGTCACTGCGCTCCATAAAAGGGTGCGCGACGACGTGCGACGCGCTCTTGCAAAAGCGTGAACAACACTACTGTTCTCCACGTAGACTTCCTGAGTATCAGAAAGACAGGCAAATGGCATGAAAAGAGGCCATCAGTTCCGAAACAACTGCTGGGTCGTACAAAGCTTTACGGGCAATCAGACTTGTAGCGAGAGCGCACGCTTCCCCAAGGAGTCATGCAGTGCACCAGACAGCAAACAGGATGTTCGTGTATTTGTTTAGCCCTTGTTTAGCGATCAAAACAACGGAGCACACACGTTGAATAACACAATAGTAACCTGTACTTTGCAAAACATACTGATGATGATGACTTGTGTTGCTCACGTCGGCCGGCGACCACCCGGCGCAGCAACAGGTGGTTGGCCATCTAGCGGACAAATCCACAGCCCGTTCAACAATCTCACCCGCATCATATACACGCCAGGTCCGCATGTTAGTCGACGACCCCGCCCTCCGCGGCCGCATCAGCCGACACGTCCAGCAGTTTCTTCAGCTCGAGGGTGCGTCGCTTGCTGAGCGCGATGCACTGGTCCATGGCCTGCTCGGAGAGTGCGTGTCCGCCCGCCTTGTGCAGCAGCAGCAGGTTGTCGCCGGCCCAGGCGACGGTGACGGCGGCGGCGCAGAGGGCCTCCTCCTCGCCGGCCGGGTCCAGCACCAGCGTGTCACCGTCGAACAGAGCCAGCGTGGCGGCCAGCGGCAGCGGGCCGAGCGGCAGCGGCGCCCGCTCGGCGGGTGCCACGCGCAGCCGCTCGGCCGGCGCGTCCCACCAGGCGCGCGGCAGCCGCAGGTCGGCCAGCGCCGCGGACAGCGCCATCAGCGCCACGTCCAGCACGTTTCCGTCGTGACTGAGGCACACCAGGTCACAGTAGAGCACCCAGACGGGCGCGACCGGGCTCGATGCACAGCCGCCGCCGGTCGAGCGCGACCGAGTTGTCGAGCAGCTGCAGCAGCTGGCTGCTGGCCGTCTGCGCCGCCTCGGCCGGCGGCCCCGGTCGGAACCGGTGGTGGCAGAGCGCCGGCAGCTCCAGGGTGGGCACCACCCAGCCGGCGTCCTGCGGCGCGTCCACGGCCGGCACGCACACCTCGGCCTTGATACCACACAGCACGGCCGTGTGACCGGCCCGGCAGTACGCCGAGCCGTCGGCTGTGCCGACGCCGCCGCGGTTCAACACCGTTGGCCGCGCCTCATCCAGGCGCCGCCCGTCTGGCCGTTCCTGACACTCCAGGTACAGCTTGTACAAGGACTCCGGCTGGATCGCGCGCATGTCCGACGCCATTGTTGAATGCCCTGTGCTCAGGCAGTTGATCTGACAGAAGAGTACAGCTTTGTTAAGAGCAATTGCTGAGTTGTGCATAGATTTAAGAAACAGAGCAAAACTTTCATCAAATGCACCTTCATACTGATGAAGCCTGCTTCTACCAATGAACAAGAGGCTGGTGTCCTATACATTCCGCTCCCTGTTTGTATCTGCCTACTCATTATTTATCCCAAAATAAACAAACCTGACCAAAAGCAACCAAAAACAATGCATTATTTATAAAAAACTAAACTGCCAACCTTAATGAAATTTATGGGGCTCTGCCTACATTTTGTATTTTCAGCTACCAGCATGCTTGCACATAAGTCCCAAAATCATCAGAAAGCAGTTGTGGTATATGTCATGACTTACGTCATGCACCATATACTACTTCTACATAGTACAAGACATATATGCCACTCTAGCAGGTGGTATGACCAAAATCACTGGCTCAAAATTAGTCATCCACATGCTTGCAAAGTTGTCATTTACCAGCTAAAAAAGCCAGTTGATAAACTAGTTTTTGAGATCATCTATAAGGAGGTAATGCACTTTCCCAGTTGGTGAGCTTGCCTTCTTGACTGATGTCCAGGTGTATGTTTCAGCATTAAACAGGTAACCAATGCTCAGGTATATATCTTACCAGGTATCATTTGACTGCCAGATTACAGGTGGAGTTCAAATGCTCCATCATGAGAAGTTCATGTGTTGTATTAATTTAGTTGCAAACACCTTGCTTCAGTTTTGTTCTGCATCAATTTTTAAGTAGTTCTGTCCTCAACTGGACTGTACCTAATCTCTAGCTCTTTTGCATTGCCCCTAACTCACCATCAGAGGAGAAGGTTGAAGCAACAATTTCAGTGTTTTTTATGTCAACCTAATTTCAAACTTAATGTGTGACTGAATGCCAAAATTGACTTCAACTGTACTAAAACCTTTACACAATATACCCTGTCCAAAAGTCTCACTGATGTGTCATTTGTCTTCAACTGGATTAAATATACATTTATTGTCTTATCCATAGCACCACAACACAACTAAAACAATCCACACCTATGCCAGCTTAACTGATAGAATGCCCAGGGACAGCATTGCATTTGCAGCACTTTATTTAAATTTATGGGAGCATACAGTCTAATTTATAGATTTTCGCTTAGCGAGCCTCACAAGATGTCACCTCACATCTACCAGCACTGAACATTGCCTAGGTGCGGAGCTGCCAATATTGGCCTGAGGAGGTAAAATTACTCTCCAAGTGCACATCTCTCACATTGCAGGTTTCCAAAAAACGGGTTCAAATCAAACGATTTTCTTGAAAACTGGACGATAGCTTATTCCAAGTATGCTGCTTCAGAAGACTACGCCACTCACCCCATCAGCCCGATCATGCACTGCCTAGAGCCTACCTACGGTTCGCCAATTACCGCCGAGGCTGTTGACAAATGCGGAGCGCCGCACGTGGCTCGTGCATACACGTGCCAGCTGTTGATGACGTAATTGCCAAGCAAACTGGGTTTCTCAATGCGTTCTTGTGAATATTCAGTACGAATTCTTACAACAGGGGAACGGTGTGTAGTACCGATTCGCACTTAAGGCCGCGGCGCTTAGCACGCGTAGATACTTAGCAGCGCAGGCGGGCAACCCAAGGCCCAAACAGTGCAAACGCGGTTGCGGATTGGTGAACCTCTTGAATTTTTACTTGTTCGGTGGAAGTAGAAAACCTTCTCCATTTTGGGAATCCAACTCCCATTTGATGGCGAGTTGCTCCTAGGACGCGGCAAGGTTGGTCGGTTGCTGACTGATACGGGGTCCCCATGATTGCGGGGGCCCCGACCGATGCAAATCTCGAATCCCGGCGTCGTACCTTCTTAGGGAATGTGCCCCAGAACTCATATGAATGCGGAGCCGACTGTGCCGAGTGTTTTTCTGGCCAAAGTGGGGCAGTGCATTGCCCAAGGGGTCTCCTTTCGGTGGAAGAGACGCTCTGACTAACATTTGAGGCATTGACGCTATCTCAACGACCCTATGATCGTTGGGTCCTTAACGTGAACTACAGCTAGCCTTTCGGGATTCCAATCGGCCCTTGATCTGAAGTCCCGAAGGCCCTTCAGACCGCTCTTTGCCTCAGTTCGTACCACTCGAACACGGCCACCAAGCCGACTCAGGGGTACTTGCCGACACAGGGCCCCTTGTTGGTTACTGTCGGCCCCCGACCGACAAGCGGCCCCGCGTTATTCCAGAAACCCTGGTCAATGCAGATGACGGACGCCGGGCTCATTCCTGCCCGAGAAATGAGGCCCAATCGGGGCTCCAGAGCTGCAAGGATCAGCCCTTGGGCTCAACCAGACGTTCGGTGTGGCAGTCTTTGGTGGCAATAGAAGTCCGCACTGTGTCAGGGGTTCTCGATCGGCGCAAGTTGCCCTCTGAACGACATCCGAGGTCACGGTTCTACGGACCGGATCTTTAATGTGACTCACTTGAGGCCCCACGATCCCCTCGAGCCCTTCAACCTTCTAATCGGGTCCTTGATCCTAGGTCCCAAAAAGTCCATCGGGACCCTGTTTGGGCTCCCTCGGACATTGCTGTTGGGTCATTGGTCCCCTTTCTAACACAGGACTCCTGTTAGGCACTGTAGGCCCTGGCCGTCTCAGGAAGCCCTTATCGGCTCAGGGGCCTTGACCAATGTAAATCACGGGCGTCCAACCACGACAAGCACGGCCTTGTCCATGCTTGGGAAATGGGCCCTCAGGCCCTGACCGACACGGAGACAACTATTCGGTTCTGCCGATGCTTGACCGGCATAGAGACCGTCATCGGCTCAGGGGATCCCAGTCGGCGCAAACATAACGTTATCTCGTCGATGACCAGCGCCCCGCGTCGGCCGATACCAGGAGACACTAAGGTACACCAACCTGTCCTGCATCGCGATGCACCTGTCAGTGCATTGCGGTTCAATGTTACGCACACTTGCTCCGCCTGCCGCACGGCATGGATGTGCGGATCCGGAAGAGTTCGTTTAGTGTTCACCGCAGAACAACTCCGGCACGGTGCACCAGGAACGGAACGATAAGGTCAATGCACCTGTCAACCATGCATTTTACTCGAAGAAACGTTAATCGAACTGAACCGGTTACTTTCTACTCTAAACACTGACACCCGCCTTGGAGTGCGCTAGACCGATCAGGCAATGCCGGAAGCACATTTCATACAGATCAAAACGCAGGGTGCAGACAATTAGAAACGCATAAGGGAATCCCCCTCCCCTGTAAAGGCCGCAGATCCCGCTCTCTGGCCCGTCCCAAGAACCTTTCCCAGAGAGGTCGCGGTGCGGACTGCCCGGAAAAGCCGAGCTCCACGGTTTACATTGGATTTGCGCTGAAATGGCACAAGCTTTTCCACCGCGCATGCGTACCACCCCGCTATAGCACCTGGAACACCTGATTCGGAGTTTCCTCATCGCTCGCCGGCCGGTATCGGCTTCCCGTACCGGAGCGCTGACAGCCAGCCCCGATGCCTAACGAAGAGGTCCGGACCAGCTGGGCCTTCCTGTGCCTTGGTGCCGTATGCACAGCTGGGAGCGCGCCATACTTTGTCGTGTAGCACTAATGTAGCGTTAAGTTTTTGCAGCATAAGTAATGCCATGTACAAGTAATGGCTGTATGAGTGTTTGCAGCAGGAGTGATGACGAGGACAAGTTTGTGTGGCTACTTTTTGCCGTGTAGCACTGTTGGCAGTAAAGCAATGCATAACTTCTGAGCAGGAGTTTTTCTTGCAGCACTAATGCCGTGAAATCGTGCACTCCGGCTGCCATTCTGGGGGCCACGTATTAACCATAATATTGTTAAAGGGAGTTTCACACCCTTTTCGTACTTTTCACTTATTGTTACATCAGACGTGTACGATCTGATCGACAATGCCAGCTTCCTCAAAGTCCCTCTGGAAAGCTCAGAAGTTCGGTTTGGAACAGCCGACCCCGCGGGAGAGGTCTCATTTTTACTCCCTGCTCACCACTATGAAAGTAATTCACCTAACTTGCCCTATGTAAGTTAAAGTAATTCACCTAACCAGCGTATGTGTTCAATAATACTTGCAATGCACTAGTGCGTCGAGATATTTGTGTAATGAAGGCTATGAAACCTTGAAACAAAACTGTATAGTAAGGCTTTGATTTTTCCCCTATCAGAGGGGAAAACAAAGGAGGATTTTGGGAGGATTTCTCAATTTTGATTTCCCCCTAGTGTCTACCACAATGGCTCTTTTCGAGGCGCACTCCGGCTTCTTTTTATTTGCATCGGGTGCACATGCCTGTTGTCAGGACTACGGTGGTCGCGAGTGCAGGGAGGAAGCGCTGTGCCGTTGCAAAGCGTTGACAGCGCATTTTGGACACGAAAATAACTAAGGCCTTATTATGTTTTCACGCTGCTGCAGTGACACTTCCCAGTGTTATCAGCAGACGTAAGTAGTCCTGAGGTTTCACAGTATGTTTCTGAAATATGTCCCGCAGGTAGAACACTCCCTTCAAAGGGCCCGACGCCACCGAGATTCGAGCCCGGGCCCATTGCGTGAGATCCTGATGGGTTCCCCAACCGGCTATTGCACCATCGAACACATCGGTCGACAACTTTTTGACTTGGAGTGGATGGAAGCGATTTATTGACCGTATCATAGGCATATCCGATACCGCCTACACTTTTGCACCCGCAGCTCCGGCTATTTAATACCAAATTTCTATTGAACGATTTAGAATCAAATTGACCCGTTTAGGAGGTGGCCCGGAAGTATGTTTCGTGTGAGCAAGCTCCTGATTTACGACATGAACGAATTATAATTTACGTATCGGGAATCGGTGCTGGAATTTGGTAGTGAAGCTCGACAAGTAAAAGTAGAATCTCTATTTTTGTGTTACAGTCGCTGCTTAGCCAGCTGCACTTGGCTGAGCATATCACAGCTTCCATTTTCCTCGTTCCTTTTAACTGTAAAGCAGCCTTGTAGAAACCTTGTTCAAATCTGGTACAATACTGAGCTTCGATTTTCAACGTCTTCAGCCTTAAGTGCCTTGTCTTTTGGCGCCAGCAGGTTGGGAACCAAACTCACCATTGGGGGAAGGGGGGGGGGGAAATTGGACAAGGAGGCAGTGGCCGAACTCTAAAAAAAATCTCTACCCGTGGCTTCGTCACTCATCCACAGAAAATCGCCCGGTTCAATGATGCATAGTGCCTATTTCCCTTCAAATGGCGCCTGTTTTCGTGTAAAATTTGAAAAACAACAAGGAACATACGGTCAATGTCTTATTCTCAAATGGCAACCAATTCGCTGTACGAGCGGGAGCCGCAGGCGGTGTGCGTTTGGGTGGGGGGGGGGGGGATGGAGGGTAACCCAGTCAACATGAATGTCTATCGAGCATCACACGCCGCGAAGCTGCGCAACTGCATTCCGAAAGTGAGCGCGCCATGTCATCGCACCTTTCCTGCGCAACCGAACGCGTCACGCTATGTTTATTCCGAAAGGCGCACACGGATGTTGCTGTGTCGACTCAGACCTCAATGCTCGCGTCGCACATTTATTCGGTTCGATTCGTCCATCTGTTACTGCGTGTTCTAGCTACGGCTTGCGCACAATGTCGTCGATTTTAAACTTGAACAAAAAGTTAGTTGTTCTCGAACGTAAACAAAAAGTTCAAGGCGAATAGCGGTGTTGAGATGTAGTACAGATAGCAGATTGAAGCTCAATCCTGGCACAAATGGCTGACATATCTGTCGTGACCTCTGGAGACACCAGGCGGAAACGTCCAAATTACGCCTGCAATAGGGCGCAAAAAAACAATGCATGATAGCGATAACTCTCCAGGAGATGTGCCAGATTCACATCATCCGTTTCACCACACCACAGCGCATGCAAGGGTCTCGTCGAAGGCCTTTGAGCCAAGACTATTCCGAAAACTGGCACGCACAGCCAATGAAAGATGCGGTACACAGCCTCTAAGCCGCTGGATCAGACGGAGCCACTGGCTCGCTTGGCTGGCTGGGCTAGCTGCGGTTATTTGGCTGAATTGGCCAGCCGAGCTGACTTGGCCAGCTGAGCTGACTCGGCCAGCCGAGTTGACTTGGCATTCCGAGCGGACTTGGCCAGCCGAGCTGACTTGGCTAGCTGAGCTGACTTGGCCAGCTGAGTCGGCTGTGCTTGCTTCGCCCGCTGGGTCAGCTGAGACTGCTTGTCTGGCTATACTGGCTGAGTTTATTTGACTGGTTGGGCCAGTTAGGCTCACTTGGCTGGCGGAGTTGACCAGGCTTACACCGCTGGCTTCGCTGGTTCAGCTGGTTGGGTGGGGTGCGCCGGCTTCTCGCAGCTGGGGCCCTGCAGGAACCACTTGCACATGAGCGCCGTCCACAGCGCGAGGATAGCGCCCAAGCTGAGGCAGAAGCGCAGCGCCTTGTACCAGGCCGGGTAGCCATACAGCGTGATGTCCCAGTAGGCAGCCACGGCCAGGCCGGAGATGAGCAGGAGGCCGCCGGCGCTGGGCGATGCCAGCAGGCCAGCCCACGCTACCAGCGACGGCGCGACGCTCTGGCCCAGGTTGGCCCAGCTGGGCGGCTGGGGCGAGCCGTCCGGCAGCGTCAGGCCCCAGCGCACGCCGCCCAGGAACGACAAGATACAGGCGCCGTACGCCAGCTGGGCGTGCAGCAGCTCCGGATTGAAGGTGCCGGCGCGCAGCATCAGCACGGGCGCGGCGGCAAATGGCACCAGGCCGGCGACACCCAGCAGCAGCGCCGGCCGTGGCGAGGCGCTCAGCTGGCGCATGTCCTCTATGAGGGCCAGCGCACGTGGGCCCGCCGCTGCCGCGGTCGCCGTCGCGGAGGTGGCCACCGGCCGAGCCAGGCGGCCAGACAGCACGGGTGGCAGGCAGCTCAGCACGGCAGCAGGAGGCCGCCGGCCTGGCACGCCGTGCCGAGCCACAAAGCCCAACAGCGCCGACATGGCCCTGGGCGAACCAAACACACATGTGAAACTTGAATAACTGGATACACTTGTGGACAGAGCAGACGTGTGACGGCCCCGATGCCCTGAGGCTTGAAGAGCCCGGAGGGACCAACGCGACCCACAATCAAGGGTCAATTGGAGAGAAGGGCGCACCGGAGTCATCTTCAGGGGCTCCGGAACGTGGGGACGGACTCTCGGATGACAGCCAGAGGACCCTTTGCGTCGATCAGGGACCTCCTGAGGGACTCTATGTTGGCCATGCACCATCAGTACCACACAGTCGGCTCCGTGTCGGTATTGGCCTGAGGGCCCTGAGATATGGGCCAAACAGCGACAACGCCGGGGCCAGCGACTTACACTGGTCAGGGCCCCTGTACCTGTTGGGAGCCCACCGTGTTTGACATGGAGTCCTGTGTTGGCATGGGAACCCCGGCTCGACCAAGGGCAGTATTCAATGAAACCCGATGAGGAACACGGCGGCCCACAAAAACCGACGATCAATAGCCCGATTTGGACGGCGTAAGGGCCCAAAGGGCTGGCTGTAGGTCTCATAAAGGGTCCTAGCACGTTGGTCCGTGACCGTCAGAGGGTGTTTTTGCACCGATATAGGACCCCTGAGACAAGTCGGGCTTTTATGTCGACCAGAGGTAACCAACAACAAACAGTTGGCTCCGTGGTGGTCTAAACCCTGGGACTCACTTCCAACGCAGGGGCAAGGCCACGGTGCACGATTCACATTGTTCTGGGTCCCTCAAATAGTGATCGGGGCCCCAGTGCGGGCCAGGGGCCAACAACAACGTTACAGTGGGTCATGTGTCGGCAACTGGCCCGAGGCCTTCACGGGCTTTGCCTGAGGAGCCAAAAACTGGCTCGAAGGGTCTCTCGAGACCAAATATCAAGGACTCGATTGGGATGCTGAAGGGCGTGAATGGCTGACTGTAGGTCACATTAAGAACTCCCGCCCATAGGGCCGTAATCTGAAATGTCAGAGTGCGGATTGCACCGATTGGGGACCCCCGACATAGTTGGGTCCTCTGTTTTGGCTGGAGATCAACGACACCGAACAGTCGGCTCCGTGCCAGTCTGAGCTCTGGAGGCCCCTATCCCAAGGAGGGACGAGGCCGGGCCCGCGATTCGTACTGGTCGGGGCCGCTGCAACAATGCAGGGCTCCTGTGTCCGTTAGGGGCCCACACTGCCTACCAGAGTATCATGTGCTTACAAGGAGCCTCGAGTCGGCCAGGGGAACACTTGCTGACCAAGAATGGGGAAGGGACCATAAATGGCAGAGGGTTTCTTGCGTTGATTGGGGCCGTCTGACAATGAAAGGAAATCTGATAATATATGGTGAGAACTCACACAGAGACAGTGGAAAGGCCTTGTGTTGGCCATGGCTCCAGTACCGAACGGGCTCTCAAACCCAATACCAGCGATGGACTCGTCGGGCCGAACTGGAGACTATGCCAATCATTGGACCACCTGCGTCGATCCGGAGCCAACGCCACGGTTCTGAAGGTCTCCCGCGTCAGGAAGAGGCCAGTTTGGCATGATGAATCCCTCTAAGGGCCTCCAGATCGACAGGGGAACCCGCCCCGTGTCGCCAGAAAGACAACTCGGGAGGCACCCCGCGCTGGGACAGAAGGGACTTTCAGTCCCTGACTGGGAACGATGATGTGTCCCTAGTGTTCTTCCCAAGGGGTCCCATTGCCCGAAAAAGTACAAGGTCTCATAAGTGTTGAAGAGAGTGGGCCAAAATGAGAAAAAAAGAAAAAAACGGAGTTCAGAAATGAAAAATGCAAACCCATGTTTGCCTGAAAGCGTTCGTTATTTAGCAGAACAGTCTAGTCAAACAAATTCGATCATAAAGTCTTGACCCTGCGTGCTCGCATCTCGGGAGCCCAAATAGTGCTGGTCGGGGCTGCAGCTCCCCTTAAACCGAACGGCGTTGGCCACTGTAACACCAGGCGGCGGGCGCCGTGCGCGCGAGAACGACCGTCGCGAAAGAATGCTTCCGTAGGTGTTTGAGCACAAATCCGTTCCGTCAAACATTAGACTGAGGCGCACTTTACACACGATTTTGAAGTTGACCTCTGGACGGATTAACCGTTACAGCAACACGAGAAAAGAGATTGTACCTTTATGCTTTCACTTCCACCAGAATTCCGTCCGCCCGGTGGCCACCGGTCAATGTTAGCCGCAGGGCCGATGACGGGCGGCCATAAAAACTGCAACACTGGACGTCGAAGGATTTGTTGCTAATGTTTGCAAGTGTGCATATTTAAAACTATGATGCAAAATTTTCTCAACAATTGCTTCTGACTGAACATTGAACATTTGCAGGAAAACATAATTCACTCATGTTAGCACAACTTTGTTTGCCCACTTTAATCAAAAAAACCTTTGCTCACGAGACCCTCCATCTATTGTTAGAACCCAGATCGAGGTTTTTTAAGAGGTCAAGAGACTCATAAGGAGGGTATTTGAGGGTGCAGATCGTGACCTGAGGTCACTAGTTCTAAAATGGCTGATGCAATTGCATATGCTCTATCTGCTGCAACATATTTTGAGAAGATTGGCAGAGTGGTTTCCAAGCTTAATCTTGGCTGCAATATCCCAGAGTGGCCTTCACGATTTTTGAAGGTGTGGGTGGTACACTGAAGTCACCAGTTTAAGAACACCTGGTGAGCCTTCTAAGCCTTCTGATATAGGTTCCGGACAGGTATGGGCCTTCTCGCATTGGTTCCAGACAGGTCGGTTTAGTGACTTCAGAGTTAAGACTTGGTTGCCTGGATGGTGACAAAGGAGTGTTGTCTGTATGTGTTACCAATCTTTGTAATGCTAAGTGATTGCAGAGCTTGACAGTTTCTTCCCTTTTTCCACTAGAAGTCTTTGGCAGCCAGCTTAACCTGTCTGGAACAATATGGCAGAAACAGTTTTGGCCAAATGTTGCCTACTCAGAGTATATGATCACTGAATACTTTTTACTATAACAATTCTCATTATTGCCATTTTTATGGCAATAAGTGCCTGCAGCTGTCACTCTCTGCAGTCATAATTGTAGTTACCTCTTATGGCAAGGCATTTAGATGTCCCTTACATATTCCTGCTTTAAGTTAATTGATGGTCTCTGGTGTCTCATCCAGTGTTTGTTGATGAACAATTCTATATTGCAGTGCAAGGTACCAATGTAGACCATGGCACAAAACATGCTTTATAACTGAAGCTTGTACAGCTTGTTTGACATTTTTTAAAGAGTCTGTTGATTACTTTACTCAAATCACCTTACTCAAATCAGTTCCACTACAGCTGAATGATAATAGACCATATTTTCCTGGCATTCAGCCACAGGTGGCAGGATCTGAATAAGGATAAAAAGGCACCATCCCTGCCTGAATAGCCTTGAAATACTTTTTCCCCTTTCATGTCATTGGGGCTTTACAACCCACTCAGCTGCTGAGGCTTTATGGCATCACCTGCCTCTCACCCTGGCAGGATGGGTGGACACTGCGGGGACTTGAACCCCATACCTCCAGTTTCCCATAGTAGTGATTAGCGCAGGCGCGTTAACCACCATACTACCAGCACCCACTTTTCCCCCTTCGTTAGCTAAATGAACAAGCATATTTCCTAAGGTGTGTAGCTAACAACAGGGACATATGTTCATAAAGTGAGTTGGGGAGAAACAATATGACACGACCAAAACTATCCCCAAAAATTGGATAACGAACAGCTTTCTCCCCAGCTTTGACCCTCTTCTTTCCCAAACTCAGGGGCTGGATTGAAAACTACACCTGTAGCTCAGAAACTACAGAGTTTTAGGCCTTAAGAAGGCAGGGCTGTGAACTTCACCAAATTATCCTTTAAAGGCTATGCCAGCTCAGAACTCCATACAATTATGGAACATTCCCTTTGAAGGCTTATAATCAATGTTATGTATAAATGGGTTGAAAATAAGGAATGACAAACTAAAACAGGTATTTTAAAAGCCAAAATCCCTGCCGTGTCAGCACACTGCAACTGCTGGAATACTTGAGCCCCTGCGTGGCTGAAGAAGAGCTTAATTGATCATTTCGGGCTTATAGAAGTAAGGAATTAGGGGTTTGTCAAGGTACTTTTTGGAAGAAAATGCTCCAAAAAACATTTTCTCACAAAATAGTTTATACACTCGGCAAGCTTTGACTTTGACTGATAATAGCACACGCCCACGCAAGCTTAACGCACCCAACAGAGCTCGGAAGACGGAACCCTCCGATCACCACTTGGGGGCCCTAAACAATGCAAACTGCAACTTACGATAATTGCAACGCATAACACCCGTTCACATCACTCAAGGTCGGCACAGGGCACGCAAATTGGCCTCTTCATAGCTGAATCTGTTGCGCCATTTCTGTCCCACTCTGCCAGGATCACGGAAAAAGACAGCACCGAGAAAGATTCTACATGACGTCACATGGTCTCAGCCAGTATTGCTACGAAAATCACGGCATCGTCGTTCGTTTTTCGTAAAAATGACGTTACTGAATGCTTAAGGTCGTCAGGCAAAAAAGGCGCGGCACGAAAAATATGCCACGATACAACAGACAACGAGGCTATTGGAGCAAAATAAACTCAACGTGAGCCAATTTGTGGCGGTAAGGACAAGTTCTGTTTGCATCGCACCTCGCCCAAGGGCTTGCACAAAAAGCGACCTGCGCTTCTTATCAAACGTTGGCATCTTTGGAACATCCAAATGACTGTTCTTGTAAACATTTTCATCCGCTGTAGTGCGGCGCTCGCGTAACCGTCCCGTGGATGACATACCGCAGGCGGCAGAAATGGTGTGCAGGCGCCGTCCTTTGTGCATGGTGCGGGTCTCGGCTGCACAAGGCACCAAGGCTCGGCTGCTTCGGTGACTTCTCGCCAGATAGCGGATTTGGCTGCCGGCCGCGCTGGCTCTGGAGGCCGCGCCTGGCCGCCGGGCGGTGAGGGAAGTCCGCATCAAGTGTTCCAGGTGCTATGGCTGGGTGGTGCGCGTACGCAGTCAAAGCTCGCAGTAATCCGGTGCAAGCCCTATGTAAGCCGTAGGACTGGGCTGTTCGGGGCACTCCGCACCGTGGCCACTGTGCGGTAAATTCTTGGGGACCGGCCAAAGAAGGTGGAACCCTGCGGCCTTTCCGAAGCTTTCCTTCATGTGGTCACCAGATGCCTGTACTCAGAAATCTGACCGGTGTAAAATGTACGTCGGATACTAGCTCATTAATGAAGGCGAATTCTAAGGCGGGTGTTTGTGTTTGGTATTGGAAAGCAACCTGTTAAAGTTGAGAACCGTTCGAACATGGCAATTGGGTTAATATGCATGTGCAGTGAGCATATCTTTCCCTTCCCGGTACTCTGCGCCGGAGTCGCTCTGCTGTGAACGCTAAAAGAGATCTTCCGAGCCCGCATACCCATACCGTGGGGCATGCGGAACAAGTGTGCGTAGAACTGAGCCATGATGCATTGGTGTGGCGCTAGGTGCAACGTGTATTTCACGGTGACAGCTGGCGCGGCGTGCTGGTCAACAACGTGAGAACTTAACATAAGATGCCGCAGCATGAAAAGGGGTCGAAAGACACCGTAAATTGGTGTTCATTATTTGCGTAAAGACCATATCATACGTAACTTCATTTATGTGATGTGATGTACGAAGGCGTGTTATGTATGTATAGCACAGTGCATGTGGTGCGGTCCAGGACGGGGTCAGCGGCCGTCGCGGAGCCGGCGCCAGCCCGTCCCCACTGAAACCTGACGCCGGGGAGGCGACGGGCGGGGGGACGCCCGGCGCGGCGGCGCCATGCCACGCCCGGGGACAGTGGCGAGAGAGAGCTGGGGAGGGGCGGCGGGCTGCGAACTGTCGAGCGGTGGGGACATTTCGTTCTTGTGTTGGCGAGCTGAGACGGGAAAGACAGTGGGTGGAGAGAGACAGCGATTGTGTGAAGAGACGTAATTGTGTGTGCAAAGACAGTGAATACGAACATTTGAACATCGAACGGTGTTTACTACGGCATGGAGAGACAAGAGCTGAGGTGTGAGCTGCCCTCAGCTTGACCTTGACCGGTGTGAGCTGCCCTCGGCTTGACCTTGACCGGTGTGAGCTGCTCTCAGCTTGACCTCGACCGGTGTGGGCTGCCCTCAGCTTGATCTCGACCGGTGTGAGCTGCTCTCAGCTTGACCTCGACCGGTGTGAGCTGCCCTCAGCTTGACCTCGACCGGTGTGAGCTGCTCTCAGCTTGACCTCGGCCGGTGTGAGCTGCTCTCAGCTTGACCTCGACCGGTGTGAGGTGCCCTCAGCTTGACCTCGTACCGGTTGGGTGCGTGGGATCTATCCGCCGCTGGCTACAGCCTCGCTCCCCACGCCCTTCCAGACTCCTCGGTCACTGCCGGAGGCCCACACTATAATTCGAGGGACTGGGTGCACTGTAATCTTTTCTTCGTTGTCGCTACCACAGCCGCACTCGTCCCGTTTTCCCAGCCTAACTAACGCGCGGCGAATTCCGGCACGCGACGAATGTCGCGCACAATGCGAACATCGCTCAGCACCGCCGATGTCGCGCTTACCGAGGGGGGCGCAATTCGACAATTTGCTTTTGCGCACTCGCGACGAACCTGCACTACTACGTGTCAGCCGCTCGAGGCATGGGAGAGGCTCAGGATGCAAGGAGCTGAAAGCTCATCATATGCCAGGACCAGTACTAACTACCGCTCTACCGCTTTTCCACAAGATCTCTAGCTCTGTTTTCCTATCCATTTCCCGCCTCCTCACTTCTGCATTCTCACTCATTCCTACAGGCTATAACTTTATCTTTACCTCTTTTCCATAGATCTGCGCCCACATGCTCATTCGCTTAGGTATCAGCCTTATTTTCTCGACACGCCCGGTCCGATAATGCGCAATTTTGCAGGCACCTTATGCTCTGCCTAACTCCTGTCTTAAAATATTTGCATACATTCCTCACAACGAAATGATGCGAAGAAGAAAAACCAGGTCGGCCAGTCGACCTGTGGACTGGGCGATCAGTAGGGAGACGGGGGGGGGGGGGGGGCGTGGAGGGATGGGACATGGATGAATGAGTGACCGGTTCTGTACGTTCAGGAGATGGTTGAAAAACATGGAAAAGCAGAGGTGTTGCGAAACATGGAGAAAGGAGGATGCGGTGCGAAAAACAGGGCAAAGTTGTAACGACGACCGTGAGAAGTTCCTGGCAGCCAGCTCCGGTTGCCGTGTTGGCAGACCCGCTTCGCGTCTGTCTCCCAGGTAGCCGTTCGAACGCCCCGCACAGTTGGGTTGGGCAACCCTGTCCGTGTCCAGCTGGACCCTTTGGGCGTCTGGTGGCGGCGGGGACGAATTATTTTCCACAAATCACTTATGTGCTCGTTTTTCTGCAGCTTATATGGACTCGCCGCGTTGAAAGGGGCGTCACTCCTCCTGTCCTTGCTTGCGCCCCCATGTATACTTTAGAGCCATTCTCCAGCCTTTCGTAACGCAGCGCGCCTCTACGTTTCAATCTCATCTCTTGTCCACCCAACGTGTCATCGATCTTTCGCGGCTCAGGAATGACCTGCCGCGGCTGAGGGTTGATGTCTACCCCCTTTTTCAGCTAGCCATTCTTCAGGGGTCACTGGCGGTGCTCGAAAACGTGACTGCCTCACCCCCGGCCTTCCTACCGGCGGCCACCTCGGTCTCTGAAGAGCTGATCAGCCCGCGCGCCATGGCCCTGGCGCCTCGCGCAACTGCTCAGCAGCCTCCAGTGGCGTTCATGCCATGAAAGCCGACGTGTTTTGACATGAATGCACCCTGAGAGGTGTTCTGTACAGTGTCGTGTTGCCATTCCTCTTTGCCATGAATGCTAATTTGTGTACGATATAGATCGTGGCAATCATTTACGGGCGTTAATTTCTGTACCTGTTAACATGGAGAGCACGTGATATTGCTACGACGCACTCATTTTGCACCACTAAACCTTTCCCAGAAAGTAATGTTTGCACGTCTTTTCGTGGTTGCCGGGGCACGAGTTGCCACGAAGGGCTCAAGCGCATACAGTGTTTCACACCGATTTATGATCTACGTTCTTGCGCCCAATTTTATTACGGCCGAGCGCGCACTTATCTTTATCAGGACATCCAACACTCGCCAGGCATAACCGCTCGCCTGATTTACTTTCCTGTTGAGAAACAGGTAGCCGGTTAGCCCGGGAACGGCTGCTTCCGTTCAGTTCAATGTATTGAATACAATACACCAAATGGAGTTAACTGCAAGTAAAAAAGGTCAAAAGATACGGATCGCTGCACTTGGTAGGCGGTCTCACAGGACAGCAAGTGTTCAATTTTTGCGGTAAAGCCAAAACATGAAGTTGGCAATCATAAGACGTCATGCAGATAAAACTCAGAACTTGATGACAGGCTTTCCTCACGTGTAACGCATGACACACTTGAAAGGGCTCCCTTGTTTCTAAGCGGAGTCGTCAACAAAGAGCAAAATCTACGCGCGCAGTTCCCAACGACTTCTTAGACTTTGGATAGTTAAAGTTCGTTTGCAATCGCCCTCCTAGTACAAGCATGGCGTCTCGCTCTCGCTTGTTGGTGTTTTTCTATGCATCGAGTACCGCCGCGCCCTTTGGCTGCGGCCCGGATTCATGCTGCCCGCCCTGCGGGACTCTTTAGAGCTCAGAATCTGGATAAGCTGATGGAAGTTCGCGGTGGTCAGCTATTTCAACGGTGGTTAGTTGTTTCAGTGTCTCATTGAAACGGTCTCACATCTGATGCCACACAGTCAACGCACTTTTGCTTCTCTAACCCCTCTTTTGCTCCTCTTCTGCTTTATAATGTTTCAAAACGTTTGTCCGGGTTTTCAGCTGATGAGAAATATTATCACTCGCGATACGTGCTCCATCCCGAATGGAATTTGAAATAATCATACGCCCGCCGGTCTCAAGAAGATAACAATACAGGGCGATGTTCGTGATGAATGTTACCACCAGATGACGGCGCTCTCCGATCGACAAGAAGGCCTCACACATTCCTTACAGCAGCAGACGCTGAATTTTTATGAACATCCTCCGAAAGGGGTATCTCGGCGTTTGCCGACGCATCACTTTATACGCATTTTCCAAGGAATTGATTTACGTTATCACTTCTTGAGGCATTTAATTAAAATTCTTGCATACACATGTGGCAGCTGTGTATAGCACACTATCTTTGAACGTGCGGATGAGATTTTAACCGCAAGGCTGAGAGCACGCTATTCATTTACATCTCAGAAACGACTTATCCTCTGGAGATACAGTAACACCACCATGATTTTATGATGATTGGACATGATATTTAATTATTTCATCGTATCTGATGCTTGTCTCAATTTCTACAAAAGTGGAACATTTCCCTTAGTACAGATAAGGTCACTAACTTGATATGAGCACCAGTGGCTCTTGGTTATCAGATGCATGGTGAGGAAATATAAGGGCACTTCGAACACCAATCCGGAGTTGGGCGTTGCTTGACCTTAAATGACCCAAATGTCGCAATCAAGGGGTCGTCAAAAATTGTCAAAGAAGTGCTTTGTTAGACTCCTATTTGCCTCTTGAATTTGGTGTCTCTAGGTCTGTTAGTTTTTTGTTCAGCTCCCAGAGTCCGCTTAACCCCCCGCTCCCCCCCCCCCCCTTTCAACACGGCGCAGTGCATTCAATGAGTCACTTAGCCGCGCGTTACGCCATGCTATCATATCAGCTATTTTATATTTCGCCTTTTTGGCATAACTGTATTTCGCTGATTCCACTTTTTGACGCATCGGCTTTTCACATTTCGCCATTTCACAGTTGCCATTTCGCAGTTTACGAACAGGTATTCGCCAAATTGGCTTTCCGACTTTTGACCTTGAGCCGAGATTATCTGTGTTACGGGTGCCGCAGGTGATGGGATATGTGCAGGGGGCGTGGGAACTATATTCAATTGGAACGGGGGAGGTGGACTCCAAAATCCGAATGCCCCCTAGAATGAAAAAGGGGGGCCTCGCACAAACTTGAATAGGCCCTCTGCAGGTCAGAATGGGCTCTATGCAGGGCAGAATTCGTCCTAGACAGGTCGGGATGGCCCCTCAGATCAATAATCAAACATTTAAAGATCAGAATGGGCCCTCTACAGGCCAGAATGAGCCATCTATCATTCAGAATGGGGACACTACAGTTAGTAATGGGCAGTGGCGGATCCAGGATTTCGTCAAGGGGGAGCACGCGAATTGTGGCCGCTGCAGTTTTACGGGGCTGTCCCCCCAAAATCATCGTATTCCGCTTATGTACGCTATTTGGCCCACGGAATCACATCTTCCTGTGCACAGCCCAAGAAAACGCGCATGGTGCTTATGCACATACACACATGCACATGCACATAGAGCACGCTTATATTGTATAAGTCGTGGTTAATCCTGTCATTTAGAGGCTACATGTTTCGGAGAAAACAATGCAAAATAAACTTAAAAATGGCCGCTCAATACCATCGACATCAAACACGATAACTCGATTTCAAGGTTATGTACAGCCAGCCGGCTGCCGGTAGTTAGCCGGCTGGTCGATGTGATCAGTTGATGGCTGGTGACTAATAAAGAGTTGCGCTTTAACTGTTATGCACTGTAAAATATTCTAGCATTCCAAATGTGTTAAGACCGTGATACTTCGGCAAAATAAGTGTCACTAATGAAAATGCCTAACAGGAATGACATTTACGACTTCGGCGATGCGTAAAATTACGTTCGGAAACTGCATGTGGAAATTTATCAAAGCATATCCGACTGCTGATTTAAGGCAACGGCTTCAAGGACAATCGCCACAACGTATATCTCGGATTTGTGTACATAAGTAATTTAGTCTGGTCCGTACAAACGAGCAAGAGAAACGCCTCGGCGTTCGTCAGCACACGCCGGGCTTTCGGAAACAGAGTAGGATCCCCTGACTTTATCGCAAGAACCTCCGAGCAATGTGGAGGGCCCCAGAGCGATCAAGAGTGCCCCTGCCGATTAACATTAGGTCTCTGTCAACGGCGTGGACCCTCGGATAAAATACAAAAACAAGACCATTGGTGACGGCATCTGAGCGATCTTGGGGTTCGGCGGAGTTGGGTCAAGGAATCTCCCATCCATAGTTGTAGAGTCCTCGGAGCAGGCGAGGTGGACAAGAGCCGAAGATTGATGTGGTTGGCCCCTGACAGATCGGGAGTGCCCCGGCCAGTTAACATATAGGGTCTCGGCCATACGCAAGACCCTTTGAGCGGACAGGAATAACCCCAGGTCAGTGTTCATGAATGAATGCCCTTGAGCGACCGAGAATGCCTTGGCGCATAAACATATAGGGTCTCGAACGACAGCCCAAGGTCCTTTAGGAATACGTTAAGTGCCCTAGACCACTGTAGCGGGTCCCTATGCGACCAAGAGTGTAGGTAGGCCAACAGGAAGAACCCCGATAAGAGTGAAAGGTCATCCGCAAAGAAGACCAAAGGAAAGGTGTCCCAGATCAATGTAGAGGGCCCTGAGCATCGAGTGTCTCGGTACGTCAACTCACACGGGCTCCAGCAACGGCACGGGGCCCCTCAAGCAAGTCGAAAGAACCCATGACCAATATGAAGGGCCGCTGGGCAACCGGGTGTGCCCGGCAAATGGGGATCCAGTAACAGCGTAGGAAGCCTTTCGGGCAAATACGAAGAATAGCATTGCCCCTGAATACTAGCAGACAGAGCCACAACAGGGCCCTCCGAGCCAATGCAAGAAAGCGAGGGGCAACGTGGAAGGCTCTTTAGTGATCAGGCTAACCCGACAAGTGTACATATAGGGCACTCGGCAACAGTATAGGGCCTCTGGATAGCCTATGGACGTTTAAAATCTCCCAAATCACCACGCTCTCAATCAGCGAAGAACCATTTTGTCTGTTCGTTGGCCTTTCACTTTCGCTTGAGACTATTCTTTGTCTCCTGAGGCCCAAGACAGCCCATTTGATTTCGTCTCAGGTACAACAACTGCGTCTGTTCGGTCGGTCATGGGCCCATTCAAAGACAATTCCGGCACCTTCGGGCCAAAGGGGCACGGGCTCGCATTCGGATCCGCCACCGATACTTGGGCCCAGGCGCGCAGCCAGGGCCTGGGCAAAGGAGGGGCACAGGCTTGACAAACGGCCCTCCGATGGTAAGACGTCCTCCCCCCAAAAAAACAGAAATATAGAAGAATGTGGTCCATTTGTTAATGAGAGTATGCTTTTTATATTTTTGTATTTGACTTCTATAGCTGGGATAGAAGCCAGAAGTTAACGCGAGATCAATTATGTATGAATTTTAGTCAATCAACTAAACGACTGCATGAAATGGATCACCGGCGCTGCATATAGTTACAGTAGTTCAGTGGAATCTTTCTAAACCGATAGAACGCAGAAGCCAGAACCCAACCCCTCATTCACAGTGTTCCGGCACTGACGCAACAACATCCCTGATTGCCACAGGTGGTCCAATATTGGCACATCCTGTTCGGCATAACGGGCCCATGCTGGTATTAGGTGTGAGGGCCCATCATTTGGTACTGGGAGCCATGACGGGCACAGGACCCTGCTATTACCTCAAAGTGAATAATCATCATAGGCTCTCATGTTTCCCTTCATTGTCAGGGAGCCCTACCAATGCAAAAAGCCCCCTGTCATTCGGGGTTCCAGTGCTCAGAACGACACGAGGACTGTTCGGGTGTTGGTGATTTTTGACCGAAACAGGGGAATTATATGCCTCAGGAGTCCCAATCAGTGCAAGAGGCCCTTTAACTAACATTGGAGGTCATGATCCTACGGGAGGAGATCCTTATGCGACATACAGCCAGCCAGTTGGGTCGTTCAGCCTTCCAACTGGGTCCTTGATTTTTGATCTCACGAGACCCTTCAGTCCCTTTTCGGGCCCCCTCAAACACCGCTCCTGGCCGATTCGGGCCACTTGCCACCACACAACCCCTGTTGGGTACTGTGGCACTCGACCGACTCAGGAGGCTCTTATCGTGTCAAGGACTCCGAACATTACAAATGCGAGCCCCAGCCTCGCTCCCGCTTGGGACATGGGTCTCAAGGGCTTAGACGGACATGGAGGCAACTATTTGGCTTCGTGCCCACGCCCCTTATGATAGGGATAAAGAAACCTAGAAAGAGGACCATAAAAGAAGCCCTCTGACTGATATTTCAGGTTCCGGCACTACGGGTGGGGAATCGGGTCCAAATCCAATCGAGCCCTCGATGTTTGATCCCGAGCGGCCATCCGGCCCCTCCTTGTACGTCCTCAAACAACGCTCGTGATCGGCTAGGAGCCACAAGCCGAGACGTGACCCCTTTTTACGCACTGAGGGCCCCTAATCGACACAGGGGCCGACACCACTGTTTCAGGTACCCAGAGCAATGCAAATCGTGGTCCCCGGTCTTGCCGCTTGGGAAATGGCCCGGAGTTTAGACTGGTAGCGAGCCAACTGTTCGGTGTTCGTGGTCTCTGGCAGACATAAACACCCGCATTGTCTTAAGGATCCTCAAACGGTGCAAGAAGACCTCTGACTGATATTTCAGGTAGCGATGCTACGGGCCGTGATTCTGTATGTGGCCTACATCCAGTCCTTAGGACCCCTATGCCCTCCAAGTGGGCCTTTGATATCGATTCCGTTTGGGCCTGATACAGGGGCACCAACCAGAGTCAGTCACTGGCCCCAGCTTTGTAGCTGGTTGGAAAGTGAGCCTTCAGTCCCATATCGATACGGAGCGGACGTTGTGGTGGTGCCTAACCAATGTATATATATATATATATATATATATATATATATATCCATGTCGACTCAGGGTGTCCCTGATCGGCGTTAAGGCCCCACTAACTGCCATCTGAGGGTCCGTTCCCGCAGCCGGGCCCCTGAAAAAGACTCCGACCAGCCCTTGATGCCCTCAGACACGCCAATCAAGCCCTTGGTCGTCGGACCCTGTGGGCCCTCCAGGCTCTTTGGGCCCCCTCAAACACTGCCTCTGGCCGACTTGGTCCCCTTGCCAGCACAGGGCCCCCAGCACAGTTAGGCGCTGCGGGACCCCAACTAATGCAAATTGCTGGCTCCGGCTTTCCCCCGCTTGGGAAATGGGCCCCCAGGCCCACGCCGATACGCAGCCGACTATGCGTAACTGGTGGCATGGAGCCGACTGACCGACATATAGGCCCTTATCAACGCGAGAGCTCCTCAGCAGCGTGCAGGGCCCTCTGGCCGGCATTGGAGCATCAGGCCCTGCGGGTTGGAGCCCCTGAACATGACCTCCGGCCGGTCTTTCGGGCCCTCGAATCGGGCCCTAATCTTAAGTATCGATAGGCCCTTCGGACTTCTAGGAACCTAAGGGAAGGGGTGGCACGTGCCCTTTGTATCCCCCTCCCCCTCCACCTGCGCTGCTGAGTGACTCCTCAGTAAGCCAGTATGCGCCTCCGACAGTCAATTGTAGGCCCTCTTAAGATCAGGACGAGTCCCATACGGATCACAATTGACCCTCTGAATATCAAAATGGGCTCCCGACAGGGCAGAATGCGACCTCTCCGAGTCAGAATGATTTGCTAGACAAAAGTGGGCTCTCTAAAGGCCAGAATGAGGGCCCTCTAATGGTCAGAATGGACCCTCTAAAGGCCAGAATGGACCCTCTAAAGGTCAGAATGGAACCCCCAAAGACCAGACTGAGGCCTCTGCTTACGAAGACCACTCCAGTCAAAAATGGGCCGTCCACAGATCAGAATGAGCCTCTACAGGGCGGAATGGGCTATCTAGTCAATAATGCGCTTTCGACAGGGCAGAACGCGCCCCTCTGCAAGCTTAGAATTGCCCTGCTTTGATCAGAATGGGTCCTAAATAGGCCAGAATGACCCTTAGACAGTTTAAAATTGACTTTGACAGGCTTACATAATACTTCTGCGGTTCAAAATAGGCCATCAGCACGCCGGCATAACCCCCCGCCTATGTTGGGAGTGTTTCCTCGATCTCCACGTCCTTGGATATCTGAAACGTCATAAGTGACATATTTCTGGCGGAGAGCTGCTTTCTGGTCCGGAAACCAGTTAAACATCAAGCAATCTTTTAATCGGGAAAATTCCCAAAACCAATTCCATATCGCATGAAACACATGCACTTTTAGGACCGTAAGCCAAAAATAAAACTGCGTGTTTTTCTGACGTCTTCTCAGTGTTCAGCTATTTGTCCACATGCGCTATGGTAGCAGGTGTAAACACTCCAATCGTGCTCAATGCTACCGTTTTTGGTTTCCTGACATAAATTTCTGCTTGCTCATTGGCCAATACTTGTTCAACGGTAGACATGATTGGCTTAGAGCAGGCGGCGTATGGCTGACCGAGGATGTACAACAACATATCGCCTCTTTGTAAGCGCGCTGAAATCGCGGTTCCCGGGGTTTGGTGCGGCCTGTTTGTGCAGGAGAGAGAGTTGGGGTGTAAGTGACATTTGTACATTTTTAGTGGTGGGCTGCTATCAAATCAGGTATTATATACTACTGTAGCGGTGTTTTTTTAGTGGTTGAAGTATTACAGGTTGGTCGTCCACGGCTTATTTGCCATGACGCTTTTGCCTCATGTGGGCTGAATTTGATCTAAGTCTACTCCTGTTCATGGTAAATTGTACGGAGCATTCTTTGCTGCGTTCAGATGTGACACTCTTTTTCATGGTTGAATTTACGTCAATTGGTGAGGATTATTGCTTGGAAGGTTGGGTTGATCAATGCAATCCTGCTCAGTATACAATGCCATTTCTCCCAAATTTTGCATGTGAAGTACTGCGGGAATATTTTTGCACTTGCCTCACATCCATTAGCCAGGCATGTTTTTGGTTGCTCCTTGGAAATTGTGTACAAGACATTAGATGACATCATGTCAGTTTGAATGGAGCACCTCGGCTCAGAATGAATTTGAATGACAAGTGCCACCACTGATCTAGTTAGGCTAACAATTTCTGTGAACTTACCAAAATTTAACTTTACCAAGGCTGACCTAACCTTTGTGTCGGGACTTAACCTAACAGGCACTGAACCCCACGCCCAGAAGTACTAGACCGTTAAGGCCAACACTGTAGATATGTAACATCACTGGATCAGAATCAGCTATGCCCAGAGTGTGCAGTTTGTGAAAATGGATGTTGTGCATCACATGAAGCTAAACCCACATGCTGAAGTAGACATTTATCACTTAACAAGAGCATCTGCCAAGCAAATGATCAATGCATGTGGTGTGTTTCACACATGGGAACTGTTGGTTTGCCTGTAACTTACCCAGTTTATCTTGGTTTGTTTACTTTGCCTATGAGTGTTTACCATTTTTCAGCTGATGCTCCTGTTTTGGTGTTCTTACTTTTGCTAGTCATGTAGCATAGGTGTTAGTGATCTAGTGGCATTATATATTTATGGTTATATCATTTATTTTCAATAGTAGGCTTGTGCTTCTTGTGTGTGATACCAGGTGGCTTAAAACACATATTGCTCTGGACATGTATGGGATCTATGAATTTCAGTGCATATATTATCAGTCTTTCAAAGAATTGTGGTCTTATGTTGTGAGCAATTTCTTGCTAGGTTACTATAAACAATTTTGCCATGTAACATCAATTACAAAATTGAGTGCAGTTTGCTCTGCCTTGAGTTTGGCACATACATGCACGGCATCAACCTTGCAGAATGCCAACATGACTTACACATGCTAGACCTGTATCATTTATGTGCTGAATTCAAGCATCATCAAACTGTGTTAAATTTTCAAATAGTTTTGGCTTAAAAAATGTTTGGGTAGTTTTGCTTGAAATTACTATATACTTCATGATTTCTTCAAATATTGGCTCCCTATGTGACAACATTGGTTGTGAGCTGATCTGAGCAGAGCTCAGGGCTCTGAAATGAATGGTATCCATGTGGTAAAGTTGCTGCTGGGATGTCATAGCCTTTCAGGAAATATTCAGCATAACATGTGCATTTTGCAGTGTGGCTTGATGCATGACTGATTTCACACAAGTCTCATTGTGTGGCTAACCTGGCAGACATTCAACAATCTTGCTAATTATCAGCACAAACAGGCTTACATTTCACACATTTCCTAGGGGAATGCCATTTTGCTATTTGTCATAGACTGTGCCACACACTGAAACTAAACCCCAAACTACCACCTGTGCCCAATTCTTCACTGGGAAAGTTCTTGCTTAAGGTTGTTGCTGGTCAACAAAACTTCTTTCATAGTGGTGAGCAGGGTCCCATGAGATTTCTCTCACATAAGTGGCTAGATCAAACCAAAATCCTAAGTTATTCAGCATGGTTTAGAGGAAACTGCCACAGATCAAATCAGAGGTGTCTACATGATGCAACAATAAGTGGAATGTGCAAAAAGATGGCATACTCCATTTAAAGCAACTATTGAAAGGCAAAAGCCTACACAGTATCAGTTTTAGATGCTGGAATGATACATACTAACCAGAACTGTTTGTTGGCAGATCTTACATCTGTCATCTGTCCAATCCAGCATGTCCAAAGACCCAGAGAAGGGGCTGGAGACAATGGATGACGCCGAAAGTGAGCAGCAGCAGCAGCAACAGCAGCAACAACAGCAGCAGCAGGGGGAGAGTGGCAACGAGAGCGCCAGCGTGGCCGCCCAGCTGATGCGCAACCCGCAGGTGTTGGCCGCGCTCCAGGGCCGGCTGGACGGCATGATCGGCTCACCATCCGGCTACATCGAGGTACGGCGCGGGGGCTGCCGCGCCCCGCCGCGCCCCGCCCCGCCCCGCCCCGCCCCGCCCCGCCCCGCCCCGCCCCGCCCCGCCCCGCCCACTGACGGGCACCCGGCGCCCGGAACACGTGTCGGGCCCTGTGGTATGGAGCAGGGTATGTACCGTTGTTACTGCTGGCACCAACATTGCCCTGCTCCGGGCACTGCCAATGTGCTGCTTGTGCTCCTACCAGCGTCAGCGTGGCTGGTACGACCAAACGGCGCCACCCGTGGTAACACGCAATGAACGGCGCCTGGTTCATCCAGTCTGCTGGTGCCAGCTGGTGCCAGCTGGTGCTGCATCCCAGCTAGGCGATGCCTGTGGGAGGGTAGGCCCTGCTGCCTGCCACCAGCTGTGTCTGGGTCGCAATCGCTGGCAGGCCGGCATCATTAACACGACCTCTGCTGCCGTCGGGTCCCGGCCAGCTCGTGGGTCCAGCCCTCCCGGCCGAGTTCCGGGAACGTGGGCTGTCGGGTCGGGGCGGCACGCGATGGTCTATTTCGGAGTGGTAATCGATGTCGTGTGGTCGGTGGGGTCATGCCAACCCATTTAACTTAAAATAGTAATGTATTATAATGAGGAGGTCCAAATTTCTTGGAACGTTTCCCACTCTTGACACACGCTCGGGTTGGCCGGTTGAATATGACGCTGTGGAATGGAGTCGGGGTCAACTTGAGATAAAGAAGCAATCATCCCAGGCCGTTTTTCTCTAATGCAACTATAACAGCATACTGTATGTGTTGCATATTTCAAACATGGTTTCAATACAGTTGCAAACATGTTTCCTGTTATCGTTATTCCTCTTGAAGTTCACAAAAAGTCGAATCTGAGCTGCTCTGGTGCACAATGCACCCACCTGCTGGCAATAAAAGGGCTGTCGAGTGAAAATACAGTGTAGAATGGACGCAGGTATGGTTCAGTGCGCTATCCCATTTCACGCACGTGGTGGTTTCCGCGGCGTTAATTTTATTTGCTGTCGCTGCTAGCGTGTTATGTATAATGTTGAAATTCGTGGTGCACTAAAAGTTATCCACCCTGACGAGAAGATCTGAGGCTGTGTGGTGCCGTTCCCTTGTTTTCCAAAACAGGATCGTCGCAAGCCTCTTATAGAAATTTGGGTATGGGGTTAACATTCCAGAATGCGATGACCATGGGAATTGTAGCATGTCTCGCAGTTATTCGGAACTATCAGCCACGGCTCTGTTGCAGAGTTTACCCAAGGTTGTCAAGCGAAGGATCAAAGCGCTGAAGAACCTTCAGCTGAAAGCCACCAACATTGAAGCTGCCTTTTATGAGGAGGTGCACGCGTTGGAGTGTAAATACCACAAACTGTACATGCCTCTATATGAACAGGTGAGAAATCGCCGACTATTTGCAGCCGGCTGTTGGACGCAGCGTGTGGTGGTCGGAGGGTACATCAGTGGCCGATAGGGGTGTATGAGGGGTTAGGCATCATCCTTCCCCGCCCCGCCCTTAGGCGTTGTCCGTTAGAATGCGCGGCGTGAAACGTGAGGTCCGCAACACAAGGAACTGACGTCCATGTATATGTTTATGTAACGATGCAGGAGTAATCTGGTCCGAGTTGTGCTGTGCGGCAGCCGGACGGATGGGGTGTGGGAGTCTGGCCTACGACGTTTGCCGCGTCTGTTCGATGCGCGTTGTATGGGCCTGGACGATGGTACGTGTGTGTTTGTGCGTGCGTGCGTGCGTGCGTGCGTGCGTGCGTGCGTGCGTGCGTGCGTGTGTGTGTGCGCGCGTCGGCGCCGCGAGACTGAGGCCTGGCGGCCGGCAGCGCTCGTCGGTGGTGAGCGGCGAGTACGAGCCGACCGACGCCGAGTGCGAGTTCACGCTCGACGACGAGATCAGCCTCGAAATGGAGGACAAGGCCACCATCGGCGACGGCGACGCCAAGCTACACGGCATGGACGAGCACACCAAGGTGCGTCTGCCGGCGCCGGCCGCGGCGTCTGTGCCGGCCGGAGGGGGCCGCAGACCGGGCCGTGTCAGTGGCCGCCGCCCCGGGGCGGGCCCCGGCCGGTCGTCCCTGCGTGTGCTCGGGCGAGGTGGGGGGGGGGGGGGGGGGCGGGGGCGCACTGAAAGCACCCAGGTGTGTGGGAGTCCGGTGCAGAGTGCCCCGGACTGTAGAGGCAGGGGATGTGTTGTCGTCTTCCCGGCGTGAGTGGCATCCGCGTCGGTTAGCCATTTGCCGATGTCCGCGTTCACAGCAAGCTGGGGGTGGGGACGAGCAGCAGGCAGCCACATGGTGACACGTGAGCACCGCGCCTGACCTTGACCATTGGGAGTGGCCGGGAGAACTGAGCTGGATGTGTCTGGTGACGGGGACTGCTGGTACGCGTGCTCTAGACTGACAGTCCTTGGGCGGCGCAGGGCATCCCCGACTTCTGGCTGACCGTCTGCAAGAACGTGGAGCTGCTTTCGGAGCTGATCCGGGAGCACGACGAACCCATCCTCAAACACCTCACCGACATCACGGTGGCGTTCTCCGAGAAGGAGCCCATGGTGAGCCCGGCCGCGCCGGCCGGCGCCCCGGCGCGCGGTGCCAGTGTAGCGTGGTGCGGCTGCTGGGCTGCCTGGTCACCTCAGACCTGCTGGGGGCCCGGCGTGCGGTGCCAGTGTAGCCTGGTGCGGCTGCTGGGTTGGCCTGGTCACCTCACCTCAGTCTGGTCTGGTCTGGTCTGGTCTGGTCACCTGCTGGCGCTCTGGTCACCTCAGACCTGCTGGGGGCGCCAGCTTCCACCGTGTGGAGACGCCGGCACCGTGTGGGCGCATCAGTGGTGGTGTCTGCGCCGGCTGCAGTAGTGTTTTTTTTTTAGGCTGGGTGAGCTGCGCCCCGCGAGCTCATGCCCGTCTGGGCGGCTGACCATCTCTGCTTTGGCAGGGCTTCACGCTCGAGTTCCACTTCTCGTCCAACGAGCACTTCACCAACACGGTGCTGACGAAGGAGTACTTCATGAAGTGCCGGCCCGACGACAAGGAGCCGTTCACGTTCGAGGGCCCCGAGATCTACAAGTGCAAGGTGGGGTGGACGTTTGGTCTGCAAGATCGAGGGGCGCAGGCGTATTGATTTGCTGGCACGCGGAAGCCAACGTGCAAATTGTATCTCGAAAACGTGTTAGGACTGAATGTGCAGAATGGAATGACTTAGGGAATTGCTCAGAAGTGAACGTGGCATGCTGTGGAATGTGCAAAATGTAAGCAACAGTAATATGGTATTGTTTTTCTGTAGAAACATTGCAGATGGACGGTATCTGTTTCGCAGCAGTCTGCAAAAATGTCTGTTAGCATATAGAAGCCAACTTTCTTTGAATGTCACATACCACAGTTGGTACAAGTTGTCATAGCTAGAGGGATACAATGGAGCACTGCTCTAGCTTATTTTATGGCTGGATTTAGAGTGGAGCCGTGCTTACGAACACCGGCTGGCTGGTGCGCGCTCCCCGCCAGCAGCCTGCTATGTAGTGCGGCGCTGGTGACTCGTCAGTCCCCCCCCCCCCTCCCTCCCCGCCCGTCGCTCAGCGGCCGCGGGGCGCGGTCGTCTGTCGTCGGCTGGCGCGCGCCCCGCCGGGCGCCCGGCGCGCTCGGCGGCCACCTCAGACGCGTGTGGCGCCCCGCAGGGCTGTACGATAGACTGGCAGAAGGGCAAGAACATCACGCTCAAGACGATCAAGAAGAAGCAGAAGCACAAGTCGCGCGGCAGCACGCGCACCGTCACCAAGACGGTGCAGAACGACTCGTTCTTCAACTTCTTCAACCCGCCGTCCGGTATGCCGAGTTCCGTGACTCGATGGCCGTGACGTGGTGGGCGGCGCGGGGGAGTCCTCGCGCCGCCACCCGGCGCTGGGGGACAGGCGCAGGATTACTGTGCAATAGATGGATCACGGTGCGACTGTCCTCATCTCGGGTCTATACACGCAGACGACGAGGTTAAACAGACGAGGTTAAAGTGAAGCCAATAACGACGTGGAGTGATGCACCTGGCTCTTCCATTCACTGAAGCGGAATACGAATGATAAATGCCGTGCTGCTCCGCTGCGCTCTGAGCGTTCATTTGGCGCTTGCGCCCGCCGTCCGTTCGCAGTGCCCGTGTCAACTGTAATCAAGCGTGCTTCGATCTTCGGGTAACTCTCATGTGGCTATTCAACCAGCGCTAGGCCCCCCGCCCCCCTTGTCTTATGAAGCGAACCCTTTACCAGTGCCAGTCAGCATCATGTGGCACGAGTCATCCCACGGGCGTCCCCTCGCCAATGCCGCTGGTGGAACCCTCCCCCCCCCCATGCTCGCGCCGGATTCCTCCGAGCGCAGCCGAACCCCTTCCTAGCGCAGGCGCACCCCTCCCCAGCGCACGTCGTGAACACCTTTACTCAATGGGAACTCTAACCCATCAGGCGCGTCCCATGCCACCCCTTACCGTTGACGGCTGCGACCCTGCGCCGGCCTGACGGCGGGCCTGACCCGGGCTGCCCGCAGTACCGGACGACCCGGACGCGGACGTGGACGAGGAGGTGCAGGGCCAGCTGACTGCCGACTTTGAGATCGGTCACTATATCCGCGAGCGCATCGTGCCGCGCGCCGTGCTCTACTTCACCGGCGAGGCGCTTGAGGAGGACGACTACGACGACGAGGAGGAAGAGGAGGACGGCGACGAGGGCAGTGAGTGTCGACGGCGTGTCTACTTTCCATAGGTTGCCAGCGTTGTGGTTTCAGTACGGTGGTTATCGTACAGACATTGACTTTTATGCCATTTTCACACACGAGGCATTCTTTGGTATTCACTCGGAATCGTCCGTTCATTATCGATGTTCAGGCCGGCCCAAGATAGCAGGTGCCGGAATTTGAAACCTGGCGCATCATGCACCCGCCAGTGAAGCGTGAACTCCTCGGCATGATCTGTCCGTCCTGTCCGTCCGCAGGCGAGGAGGACATGGACGACGAGGAGGACCCCGACTTCGACCCCAAGAAAGCCAGAGCGCCAGGCGGCAAAGCCGGCGACCCGCAGGAGTGTAAACAGCAATAGACGCCTCGGCCGCGCCCGCTGTCCTGTCGGGTGGCCCCATTCCTGATTCACATTCGCCCCCGGCCCCCACGCCCCCGATTGCTGACACTGACGCCCGGTGTTCTGATGTGTGTTGATGTACTTCTGCGATAGCCGACCGCCGGCGTCGCTTGCGCCGGCCGGCCCATAATAAATCTTCGTTCTGTGCGCGTGCGTGTATTGCGCGACCTCCGCCACGTGCGTCAGCTGTCGGCCGGACATGGCCACAGGCCGCACGCCGGCGACAGCCTGGGACTGTCTCAGCTGGAAGCCCGCCCGAGAGGCCGACCGCCGACGCAGCCGGCTCCACACACACACGCGGTGATCCCCAGGTCAGGCGGCCAGCCCGCTGTCTGACGTGCAAAGCTACCGGCCGCGCGGCGCTGAGGCGGCGTGTGAGCGAGCCACCTTCACACCGGCGAGGACGTCGGCGAAACATGGCCGCACCAGCCCGGACTGGTGGCGCCGCCGCCGTGCTCTGTGTCGTCCTCGTGGCACGTCGGGTTACATCGTACGCCAAGCTCGCTCATTCGCATACACTGCCTGAGGCGCGGAGTACACGGTGAATATAAGTGCGGGCGGGCAGCGAGCCCTGCATCGGTCTCGGCTCCGGCGAGGGGTGGGGCTCCCGTTGTGCGGACATCCATCCGCGGAGTGAGATCAGGTGCGACACGCCCCAGTGAACCGCAACACCTCACGACAAACAGTCCGAGCGCTCCAGATACAGCCTCATCACAGTCGGAGGCGGTCGCAGTCACCGCTTCGCCGGATGCGCAAAGTCAACCGCGTTATCATGCCGCGGCGTTCGGGTGGAGCCGCCGCGCGCGCGGCAGGCTAGACTAGAATTACTGCACACGGTCGGGAGGCAGCCTCGCTCGCAGCGCGGCTGACGTCAGCAGGGTTGCCTGAAGGGTTATCACAGCAGGCCGCCGTCTCCTCCACCAGCGCCCCGAAGCTGGGGCGGCTGGCGTGGCAGGATCGCGCCCCGTCGGTCTCACATCCGCCTGGAGCGACACGAGACCGTGTCACGCAGCACTCGCTGGCCGTCACACGGCGACCGCGGCGTCCCCGTGCCGGCCAGTGGCTGCCTTATGCAGTTCAGCGGAGCTGTACACCCCGCCGGCGGCTCCCATGGCTGAGCGCGGGCAGGAGCGCGGCCACCACCATCCCTCGCAGCATGATACAATATGACACGCGATTCCTGTTCCGTCCGACACCAGTGATCCACAGCCCCGCGCATCAACATCCACAGCTGTAAGCGCGTGCCGCAGTGCGGCATGGTCCTCCGTGCACAGTGCGCTGGGCGCCCCCGACCTCAGCGGCTCGCGACGGCGCACTCACTGTCTGGCAGCGGTGCCGGGAGGGACTGCAGAGCCGCGAGGCCGCGCCTGTCGGTGCTTGGCCGACTTGGGCCGGATGGCCACGCCCGGTCCGTCGGCGGAGTACGACAGGTACACGTGCGACAGGTCCACCAGCGGCGGCTGCAGCGGGTCAGGTGTGAGCGGGGAGCACGCTCGCGGAGTGCGACAGGCACACGCGAGACAGATCCACCAGCGGCGGCTGCGGCGGGTCAGGCGTGAGCGGGGAGCACGCTCGCGGAGTGCGACAGGCTCACGCGAGACAGATCCAACAGCGGCGGCTGCGGCGGGTCAGGCGTGAGCGGGGAGCACGCTCGCGGAGTGCGACAGGCACACGCGAGACAGATCCACCAGCGGCGGCTGCGGCGGGTCAGGCGTGAGCGGGGAGCACGCTCGCGGAGTGCGACAGGCACACGCGAGACAGATCCACCACCAGCGGCTGCGATACGTCAGCTCCAGCGAGGGTGACGGATGTTCAGGGAGCACGACACGCCCTTCCGCGACTGCAATACGACAGCCGCGCGTCGTGAGCAAGGACACTGCAGGGGAGCGGCGCTCGTGACCGAGCACGGGGCATGACCCGTGAGAGGCAGATGAACTAAGACTTGTGAGAGGACAGAAGCATCACCGGACAAAGACGGACCGGGCACGAACTGCGACCCGCGGTCGTAGCACGACGCGTGATACGGCAGACGTAACGTGACTGGTGAGCATAACATGCTAGTACTGGTGATAGGTAAGATATTAGTACTAGTGGTAGATATGATACTGGTGCTAATGACATGAGATACTAGTACCAACGACATGATGCCAATATTATTGGCAGATAAGATACGAACACCAATGACATAAGATATTAGTACAAGTAGTTGATGAAATACTGGGACGAGTGATAAATAAGACACTAGCCCTAGTGATATATCAGATACTAGCACTCGTGAAATATAAAATAATTATCAGTGTCAGGCGGCATGCGACAAGCCATACATGACATTAGCGCGCCCGGCGGTGGGCGCACATACAGGACAACCTACCGGTCCGATCCAGCACGGCATCGCACCTCGAGACTGCCCACACAAACACCACACGTTACGCATCAGCCCCTCCCGCTGCGTGGCACCAGCGGGTCCGCCCCGGCGGACGCCTGTGGCAGCCGGCCCGGCGCGGCTCCCCCCAGTCACCTCCGGCTGACGGTCGGCATCGGCCGGGTCCGTGTTGCGCCGCATGTTGTTGCCCGTGTAGGCGACGCAGCGCAGTTGCCACTCCCCGATCTCGTCGTTCCAGCTGGCGTACTGCTCCACCATGCTCTGGTACTCGGCCGGGATCGCCTGCCGCGAGCAGGCCGCCCGTCACCGCACGGAACCGCGCAAGGGAGAGCGGCGACTCGTCACCGCGCAGGGGAGACAGGTGACCCGTCACCGCACAAAAGAGAGCAGGGGAGAGCGGTGAACCGCCACCGCTAGGAACGCGCTGGGGAGAGCGGTGACCCGTCACCGCCCGGAACGCGCAAGAGAGAGCGGTGACCCGTCACCACACGAAACGCGCATGGGAGAGCGGTGACCCATCATCGCACGGAACGCGCAGGTGAGCACGGCACATCGGCCGGGACCTGGTCAACAACGCCGCGCTTACATCGCAGGTCAGTTCACAGACATGGAATGACCCACGGAATGCCACAGTTTCAATGACTCGTGGGGCATGGAGTGGGTGTTCACCGACATCCAATGACGCTCATCAACGGCATTGCACGTCGCGTCTACGCCAGTCTAGCGGCACACCAGCTGAGACGGCGGCGCACCGAACTCGCTCACCTGGTCGATGAGCAGCTGCTGGAGGCGTAGGTCGCTGGTCAGTTGTCGCACGTTCTCGAGCAACCCCTCCTTCTCGCGCTGCTGTTCGGCGCGCAGGTCCTCCAGCTCACATTTGGCCTCCAGCAGCAGCTGCCACACTTTGCGCAGTTTCTTGGTCTTGCCCACCGCCTCTTCCTGAAGAGAGCTGTAGCGCTCCTCGATGTCTAGACGTTCCGCCTGAAGAGGCACGGGCGGTCTTACTCATCACCATCCCCGTGGCCGGTTAGCTCAGTTGGTTAGAGCGTCGTGCTAATAACGCGAATGTCGTGGGTTCGACCCCCACACTGGCCAGAGTTTTCGATGACTGCGGCGAAAACATGTGATCACCGGTTCTCGGCGCGGCCTTCGCTGACGCGGGCTTTTGTTCCCCAATCCTACAGACATCAGGAGTCAAAACCCTTGCCTCACAGAAGGTTCAGTATCCTACTATTCACCTGTGTCACGACGTTAGCGCTACAACAAAAACTAATCGACGGGAGCGGGGGTGCTACATGGCGTAACTGCGTCTTACAGAACTCGCAGGAAATCAGTGCTACACAACAAGATTTATACTTAATAAGAGCACACCTTATTACATCTACCGCAAGGACTTATACCATACTTATACATGACAGTACTTCTACTGCAATGTATGACATGAGTGCTAGACGACAAAACTTCTACTCAGTTAGCCCAGGTGGTTGGTGGAAAAACTTAAACCCGTCATTTTTTGTATAGAAAAAACCTATACAGGTCTTACTTATAATCAACAATCTTTATCTGCAAAAACCTCATACACGTCAAAACTTACGCTGCACACGCACACACCAGTCATTACTTTTGCAGCCAATAAGTACACCATCTTAGTATAACATACAGCCCTTACTTATAAGCATATTCTTTAATATAATAGTATAACATACTTTAACATATACAATACCTCAAGAAAAGTTTTAAGCTTTAAAAAGTTTAGTGCAAAATGTTGCAAAGCACCCAGCATGGCTGTCACACGCAGCTGTCGCATATGAATGCCATGTGGGAGTTGTATTCATGTAGGCGTGAACAAGCAGTGCCTGACTCGAAGGCGTCAGGAGCAGATTTAGGAGCATGAGTACCAAATAAAGTCCTCAAAATCTCGAGTGCGGCGTCACCGGCCGGCAGTGGCCCAGCTCGCCTGACCTCCTTCATCTGCAGCGCCTGCTGTAGCTGGCGCTCGTTCTGCTGGCGCCGTTCCAGCTCGCGGGCAGACTCTTCCAGCAGGCGCTGCTGCTCCTCCGACCGCTCCAGCAGGTTCACACCGCCCACGATGATCTTCTTCTCCAGCAGCGCCAGCTTCTCGGCCAACTGATCATGCGCCCGCCTGGGGGAAGGGGGGGGGGGCGACGGTCACGACGGTGCTGAACATAAACACGGCCAGACAACGACAACAATGCTAAGGACACCAGTTCAGACGCCATTCACTACTTCTGGAAAAAGTGGAGTAAATTCTATGAATTGTGAAGGGCCAGCAGGTAATGCTCTCCCGGGCAGCACCACGAGATAAGTCACTATCCTCACGCATGCTAGCATTCACACGAGTCCTCTCGAGGAACATCATCCAGCATGGCGCCGACTCAGCCAGGCGTGATAAACGACCTCGGCACATGGCCCATCGAGAAAAGTTGGTCTACGCGGTCACCGGACTACTCCTCCTCCCCACCGCCGGCATTCCCGCAGTCACGGATCTCCCCCCCCCCCCCCCCCCAGCCTGCCATCAGCCCCACGGTCACTGGAACTCTCCTTCCCCTCCCAGCCACCATCAGAGCCCCAGTCACGACTACTCCCTCCCCTCCCACCCGCCGGCATTCCCGCAGTCACCGGATCTCTCCCCCCCCCCCCCACCCCCCCCCCCCAGCCGCCATCAGCCCCCCGGTCACCGGACTACCTCCCCTCCCACACCGCCGGCATTCCCGCAGTCACCGGATCCCCCCCCCCCCCCCCCCCAGCGCCATCAAGCCCCACGGATCACGGACTACTCCTCCCCTCCCAACCGCCGGCATTTTCCCGCCAGTCAACCGGACTCCCCCCCCCCCCCCCCCAGCCGCATCATCCCGACGGTCCCGGGCTACTTCCCCCTCCCCACCGCCGGCATTACCCGCAGTTCACCGGATCCCCCCCCCCCCCCCACAGGCCGCCATCAGGCCCGGACAGTCACCGGAATTCTCCCCCCCCCAGCCGCCATTCAGCCCCACGGGTCACTGGACTACTTCCTGTTCCCCTGTCCCAGGCTACCATTCATCCGCCAGTCTATCGGCTTACTTTCCCCCCCCCCCCCCCAGCCCCCATCATATTCCCCACCAGCCACCGGACTACTTCTCCCCACCTCCCAGCCGCCATTCAGCCCCACAGTCCCCACTGGGACTATTCCTCCCCTCTCCCTCCCCCCTCCCAGACGCCTATTGAGCCTCCACAGTCACCGGACTACTCCTCCCCCTCCCAGCCGCCATCATCCCCCAGTCACCGGACTACTTCCCCCTCTCCCGTCGCCATCAGCCCCACAGTCACCGGGACCACCCTTTCCCCGCCGCCACCAGCCCCACTCACTGCGCCTGCGCCAGCTCCTTCTCGTGCTGGTCAACCTGCTGCTTGAGCCGGCGCCGCTCAGCCTCGGCCATGCCCTTCTCTTGCTGGAGGCGGCGCCGGTCCTCCGCTAGCTGGGCCTGCACCTCAGCCACCTGCTCCTCGGTGAGACGGCGCGGCCGGCGGCGGCGCGGCGAGCCGTCGGCGGCCGCCTCCTCGCCGCCGGACTCCTCCGCCGAGCCGCTGTCCGAGTCGCCACCGCCCTCTGACGGTGACCGAGAGGGCGGCCGGGTCAGATGGGGCCGCGGCCGCGGGGGAGGGGGGGGGGGGGGCTGATCATACAGCGCCACAGTCGGCCCGCAAGCTCGAGTGTCGGAGACAACACGCGACATGGCTCCAGGTCGGTCCAAAAGCCGGACGAGAGTCACCCTGTGTTCAAAGGACTGTGAAGGTTTGAAAATGACAAAATATAATTCAAATTTAGGCGACTGGCAATTTTGCAATAATTACGAACAACATATATGCATGCTTACCGCATGAAACTCCGTGTGCCCCACAAGAGGTTGTGTAGCACTCCGAAGCACCACCCCCTCCACGTCGGCAGCCACCCTGGCCGGTAGTCTCTCACCGCCAGCACCCCCGACCGTGCCGGCAGCACCGGTACTCACCCTCCTCCTCCAGGCGACGGCGCAGCTCCTCGATCTCCTTCTGGAACTGGCGCAGCAGCGCGTCCTTCGGGTCCTCGTTGATCTTGGCGCTGTTCTTGATGCTCTTGGCGCGGTTGGCATACCGCAGCGTGCTCAACGTCTCGTCGTAGTTGTAGTCGGCAGGGCCGGCGTTGGCAATCTGTGGAAGGCAGTCATCGGTGAAACGAAACCGAGGGCCTTATTCAGCGTTAGAGAGAGCACGGTACTACACCATCGGCGGGCGACAAGTACTACACCAAATGGTGGCATTAGAACTTAGCAGGCGAGCACCAAACGACAGCCACAACGGGAGCGGCACCATACGGTCGTAGCCGCATTGGCAGGCAGTCCCATGATCTGGCGAGACCAGCGTCCCTCCATACCATTAAAGCAATCGCCAGAACGCGACTCGTTTTCATGCGGTGAGACTTGGGAGCGCAGCGATACTTATTCCTTGTCGCAATCCCAGCAGTGAGAAAAACATTGCACAGGTATCCCAAAAGCAACAGGTCGGCAGGTTGTGCAGGGACATGCGCGCTGCAGACAGATGACGAAGATAACGAAAGACGGACGACAGCAGCCACAGCACCGGCCTACTCACCATCACCGTCTTGCTGTTGCCGCCGAGCGAGTCCTGCAGCAGGCGCGTCAGCTTGGAGTTGCGGTAGGGCACGTGGGTGCTCTTGCCGTCCACCAGGGCCGAGATGACGTTGCCGAGGGTGGAGAGCGACAGGTTGATCTTGGTGGCCTCCTTCAGGCGCTGACCGGTGGCGCCCGTCTTGCTCTGGCGCTCCGAGCCCTGGGCGGCCGGCCAACGGCGGTTACTGCCGGCTCAGCGGCGGCTGGCAGCTCTGCCGCCCGTTACCATAACCCCGACGCGCGGCGACCGAGGGCACTCGGCCACTGGAGGATACCGGTGGAGGCAGCGGGGTCAGTCGCACTTGGGCAGACACTAGGCGCGGGACAAAACTGTTCCGACACGGGACAGCCTCATCACGTACCAACCAATGTATTCCACAGCCATGCATAGCCTCGTGGCTCGTCATGCAAGCCCATAGTGTTACGGATGGTATCCCAATAAATGTTGACGGCCATACTCGCAGAAAATGTGCGGTACCCTACCCTAAGTGATTCTACCCCTTCCCACGGGATCTATGAATTCACTTCACAGATGGCCACGTCCACAAATCTGAGCCAAGTTGACATGTACTCTGCTCCGCTTTCCCTTCCTGCTAGATTGCGGAGCTCAACTCCGAACACTCAGTCGGTGTCAGACGTCAACGGGCAACAGCGGAGCTCTGGCACTGGCTTCCGTGGCCCTCCGGACATCTGCGGCGCCCTGACACCGACCTCCGTGGCCCGCCGGGCATCTACGGCGCCCTGACACCGACTCCCGTGGCCCGCCGGGCATCTGCGGCGCCCTGACACCGATTTCCGTGGCCCGCCGGGCATCTACGGCGCCCTGACACCGACCCCCGTGGCCCGCCACCACCAGCCCTCGCTGCCGCTCACCGCCAGGTCGACCAGATGTAGTTTACCGACGCGCACGTGGTTCTGGCCGTCCAGGCCCCGCTCGCTCCGTTCCACGGTGGTGGTGAAGATAGCGTGCGAGCGCGAGCTGTGCTCGTTCATGTTGGTCGCGCCCACCGATCCTGCGGCGGACAGGCTGTGGCTGGTGGCAGGCTCGGCAGAGGGCACGGCATAGGGCACACAGCCCGCACGAGAGCGCGGCACTTGGCGGAGGTATGTGTCAGACAGCAAATGGCATACCAGCAGGCACCGTTTGGCTCTCCACCCCCCCAAAAAACTCAGGCGTAAGGACATGGAAATATACGACGCTGCAGGGACTGTGCGATTCCAGCCCTGAAAACGTCGTCCGTAACTGGCCTTGGGTCATCGCATGACGGGGTATGAATTCAGTAGCCACCTAAGAAATTGCCGATACCGGCAACACACAATCATGGTTATGGAAAATTGCCTTCTACGTGCCGAAGCCGTACTTCTGACACCTCAAATCTCACCACCCGATTGGTGGCAAGGATAAAGAAATGAACAGCGGCAAAAAGTTCAAACGTATTATATTCTAATGTATATATATATATATATATATATATATATATATATATATATATATATATATATATAACTTCAGTTGACAACACCGCATACGTAACCGCGTATCCACAAAGCATCAGGGCTTAAAATACCCTCGGGTGCCGATGACTACGTCATCCAGTACTCGAAAGCCATGACCACAGCGCGTTCACACACGTCCGTTCGCGACGGTCGACGGCTGTTCCCAGCGCCCAGAGTGACGACGATTGGTCCAAAATAAGGCAGATTAGCGCTGTATTGTTCGATTTCGTTACCACATTTCTTGACGGTCAGCTCCAGACGAACGCAAACGAGTGTGGGGGCACGGTGGTGACAGCGATCCACATCCTGGGGTACCTACTGTTTTTATTCCCCAGCGTCATGATCTTGTCCATGTCGTCGGCGTTGTTGACGACGAACGCCGACAGGTCCTTGACGTAGACGCCGACGTCGGGCCGTTCCTTGACCTCGAGTCGCTGGCTCTGCACCTTGCCGAGCAGGTCGCGCACCTCCTCGTTGTAGATCTCCAGGTAGGAGACACGCACCAGAAACCTACCGGGCGTGGCGAGACGGTTCGGCCTCGGACTGACGACCCAGCGGAGCCCCACCAGCAGCGCCCGATGAGGTCGGGTGCACAGCGCGAGAGCGGCCGATCGACACCATCCACCTGCGACACGCCTGCGCTCGACTCCAGGCGGGGGCCGAATCCAAGGAGCAATGGATTTTTTCCGTCCAATTTTGTCTTGTCTTTCCGTCCAATTTTGTCCAATTTTCCTGGGGTCACGGTGAAAATGATGACTTTGCAAATGCTGTCTGAATCGGAATCCGAGTTCATTCAACCAAGTCGTGAAAGATTTGACTTGAAAGTAATGTAAGTAAGAGGATTTTCATATTCCGACCAGATACCAGGCGGAGCCTGTGTGAATATGAATCTGAATGCAAACTCTGCCCCTGATCGGTGCATCAACAATCCATTGCCGCCCCTAGGCCACACGAAAAGGCGGCATCCTTAAACATATCAATGCCATAGCATCCTCTTTTGCCAAAACGTACTTGGTGTCGCCTGCTGCCTTGGAGATGTGTCCAAAGATGTGCGCGAACGAGTTGGGAATGATTCCCTTCTTCTCTGCCACTGATCGGACTCCCTCCATGGTGAACGTCTTGCCCGTGCCGGTCTGACCGTACGCAAATATCGTGCCGTTGTATCCCTCCAGCACATTTTCCACGATAGGGCGCGCCACCTGGTTGTATATGTCGAACTGTCGGCAGATACAGAACAGTGTAAGCGCAGAGCATAGACCGGCGGCACGGACGGGATTTTGCCCCTTCCAGCCAGCTTGGTGACGACAGTACGAGAAGTTCTTACCCTCGTGCACTTCGTGGGCGTGGGCGGGCGAGGCCGGATGTCAGGAGGCCAGCAGCGACTCTCGTCTGTCCGAGCTGCGGCGGCGTGGCGGGGACTCACCAGCCTGTGACCGGACCGGCCCACCAGGGGCCCTGCTCGCGCCTCGCCGGACCCCCTCACCTGTTTGGAGTCCGGCCCGAACGCCACGTCGAAGGTGAATGTCTTGGCCGGCTCGGAGGCGGCGGCGGCGGCCGGCGTGCGCAGCGACACGGCGCCGCTCAGCGCGTTCACCTCCACCGCGCTCCGGCAGCCGTTTGTCACCTCCGTCTCGTTCAGCGGCCGCACGCGCACCGCCACGCGCACGTTGTCCTTGTCGGCCATGGCCCGCCGCCGGCTGCGGCCGCGGACGGTGTCGCGGCGCCGAGGCGAGCTCTCTCAGATGTGATGCTGAGGTTGTGCATGCAGCTTAAAGCTTGGTTGTTCTGAATCCAAGTTGATGCCTGTGATGAAAAGAGCACTGAGATGAGCCTCAGCCATTGGTTAGAAGTATCCAAGACATGGCACATGCACTTATCAGTACATATTAGTAACATTGCTTTCAAATGTGACCAGTGTATTAATGTAAATGCTGCCCCATGATTTCACAGCACTGCTAACAGATGTAATGCAGCAACATACAAAACCTTTTCATATTTTAGGTTAGCCATTATGCTTGAGCATTTAGAAACATCACCAGAATAAAAATGGTGACCAAGGCCTCTTTCCAAATACACTTCCCCTATCCACCCTCATTCACAATAGTGTTCTAATCAATATAAAAAAGAAGTTGAGATCATGACTCACCTACCTAACTCATTTATCTACCTTTGGTCTGTCACTCATTATATGTCATGTGTAATTTATATCATCCTTGACTTTACCTTTTAAGGCAAGTTTGCAAGAAGATATCATTAGAAGCCAAAGTTTGGGCACAGTGTCATAAAAGTGCCAGAAATATGACTATGCTGCATCTGTCAACAATATTTTTTGCACTTGCAATTATTTTAAGCCTTTAAATCCTCCACAGCTCATAAGCTTAAGGCAACTGTTACATTCAGTTAACACAGGTGTACAAATATGAAGCATGCAAGTTGATATCCAGCATCATCATCCTTATATGATAACTGAAAATGTCTTACAACTTAAAAAAAACAATAGACAACATGTTGTCCACTGCCATAAGAGAGCAATATTTTGAATCTATGCCCAAGTGACAAAATGGAGGGCACACATGCACCATGTGTGAAATAGGACCCAATGGACTACCTGAGATTCAGATGTGATGTACAACAACCTGACTCATGGTATTTATGTACTGAAAATGAAAAACCCTACTTCCAGTGTGAAAATGTGAATGGTGCTACTGCACTCATATTTCAAAACATGCTTTTCCTACCAACTTATCTAGCTACATACATATACTATACACACAGAATATGAAATGTTTATTCAACCCAAAATTGCAATAAAATCAAGAAGCCAAGTTCTCACGTCTCAGTCCACTCCTCACCAAATCATGGCTCACTAGAGGATTCATATAGAATGCAGTATGCAATTGGACGTTTCCTATTAAATTTCCTATGGATCCCTCTCCTAAAGGCCATCGTACCTACAAGCGCATATGCGGTGTATATGTGGATAGGAACCCGGCGCCCACCTCGCACACAAACTGTGCTATGCACGGTTCTTTTGGATGCGACAGGTTTTATCGATAGCCATTTTCTATAAAAACATTGAATGGCTACAAATGTGGCGCAGCAGCAGCTGTTGAGGTTTGTGATCAATGACCTGCCAGCTGTTTGGTGACGTCAACAAGAAGGCTGGGGCCGGCCAGCGTATTGCCCCGCCCAGTTGTGCGTATCGCTCCATTCGTGGCGGCAGAGAGGCATAAGCTAGGGAAATAAAAAGAATAAGTATAAAGAACAGAGGGAGTAAGCTAATCCGAAAAGAAACACTCCCGTCGGCCTCGTTTTTAGGTAAGTTTGGCTATTTTCTGCTCCCGCACAACTTATTTGGCGAAACTAAAACCATGCATTAAAGCTACGTGAGCAGCTGACAGAAGGAAATACAAAGAAACGTGACATCAGAACCTCTACGAGTAGATTCACAAAAAGGCTGAGAATGTGCCTTGCGCGGTTTTTGTAGGGAATTTTTATACACAATGCGGCTGATAAGCAAATTACATCCGGATGTCTGTCTTTCAGCTGTAATGTGTATTCTGTGGTACAAAAAGCAAAACATGTACAAGCAGTCTTGAACGATACATCACTTAGCACTTTTCAACACCATGTAATAGCATTCGAACTTTTTGGGATACTGAACAACGCGGCCAAAGCTAAACGCTGCACAACTAGCCTACAAGCGAGTTACAAACCACGAACGAACACCGCTCACCGTTGTACGCAAAACAGCCAGACCACGCAGCCGGGGTCCCGGGTCAGTCCACCACGGCGTCATCACAATGCCAATCAAAACTCGGCCAGCGGGTTGTCGGCCGGGGCCAGGCCAGTGCCGCTGCGTGTGACCTGTATGAGCTGCTTCTGCTCCTCGAGCATCATGTACTGGCGGATGAGGCGGCGCAGTTCAGCCTCGTTGCCAGCCACGCCGCTGCGGCGTAGCACGGCCAGCACGTCCTGCTGCTCGACGTGTCGCCGGCCACCGGACACCTCGCTCAGCCAGCCGAGCACCATCCGCTCGAACTGGCTGATGGCGGCGTCCACTTCTCGCAGCGCCTCGGCCGTCATCCGGAGGCCGGCCGCGCTCTGGCGGAACCAGCGGCGCGTACGGCCCGGCGGCAGGCCGACCAGCGAATTCAGTCGCCGGCCGACGGCCGCGGCCGGGCGGGGCCGGGTCACGCGCTGCGCCGCCGCCGCCACCCTCGCCGCCTCGCGTCGCTCCTCCTGGTCGCGATCATAGGTGGGGAACAGGCGTGCGAACGCCTCCTGCTGGGTGACCCGTCGGCCGGCAGCGAGCAGCGTGGTCCGCCCCCGCCGGTCGGCGCCATCAGCTGACGCGGCGGCGGAGCCCCGCCGCCCCACAGGCGTCTTGGCCGTCGACTCTTGCAGCGACCGTTTCTGGCGAGGCGTGCCAAACACGCTCTCGCCCAGCGTGGTCAACGTGCTCTGGCGAGTCGTAGCCGACGCGCCCTGGCGAGGCGTAGCCGACGTGCTCTGACCAGGCGTAGCCGACGTGCTCTGACGCAGCGTCGCAGACGTGCTCCGACGCGGTGTAGCCAATGTGCTCTGACGCGGTGCAGCTGACGTGCTCTGACGCGGCATGGCAGACATGCTCTGGCGAGGCGTAGCCGACGTGCTCTGACGCGGTGTAGCCGACGTGCTCCGACGCGGTGTAGCTGACGTGCTCTGACGCGGTGCAGCTGACGTGCTCTGACGCGGCGTGGCAGACGTGCTCTGTGTGTCGCGGCTCCTCCGGTCGGCAATGTCGTCCTCATCCGCCGAGTCGTCGCGCAGGGACCGCCGGGCCAGCGTGCCGACGGTGCCGCCCGGCGAGCGGCCCGAACCACGCCGCCGCCGACTGCTGTTGGCAGAGTCGGACGCGTCGGCGCCGACGTCCGCGCTCCCCGACGCCTCGCGACCCTCCCCCTCCAGCCAGCGGGCCGTCGGCACCGACGCCGTACGACGCTCCTCCGCCGTCGCGCTGAAGTCAGACGCGGTGTCACCGGCCACCGACGGGTCGGCGATCAGCCCGCTGGTGAAAGTCGGCCCCTCCGCGTCGTCCAGCTCCAACGTGACGCGACGCGGTCGGCCGGGCGAGCCGGTGACGCGCCGCCCGCGCCGCCACGCCGACCGAGGAGACGACGCGGCCAGGCGGAAGGAGGCGGCGCGCGCGTCCTGCCGGGCGGTGCCGTACAAGCGACGCGGCGGCTCTGACAGAGGCGTTGAGGTTATACCCGCCGTCCTAGAGGCGCCCGGAAGGAACTTCTCGAAGACGGACTTACGGCTGACGACGCGAGCCTGCGACATCGTGTCGCTCCCCACAGGAGTCGTGTCCCTGGATCCAGGGCCAGGGGTCCACTCCGAATCGAGCGGAGGAACCGGGGAGTCGAAAGCGGTATCTGCGTCGTGGAACCGGTCGTCAGTGGCGTCCCCTTCTCGGTCCAGATCTTCCTCCAGTCTTGATCGTTCAACATCCCGGGCGCCCGACACCGACAGCTGTTGTTGAGCTGTCGATCCTTCACTGCGGTCTTCAGCAGACGAACCTCTTCTGCGAAGAGGTGATCGCGCCGAAATCGAGATCCCAAAGACCCCACGCTCCGGCGACTTCTCTTCGCTCGGAGCACGAGCATCCCTACCACTGGAAAAGTCCCGATCCATACCCTCCCCTTCATCCGAACCGCGTTCAGGAACGTCCCCTTCGCCTCCACTGCCTGCACCTTCAGAACCAGCTGCTGCACCTCGACGCCTGGATCCGGACTTATCAGGCTCGCCGGCCCGAGGCTCCGACCATGGACTACCGATGGTGGACGGCAGCGTGCGCGTCTCCTCAACAGACGTGCTCAGGTCGCCCTCGAACAGCTCCAGGTCGTCGTCGGCCAGCTCCAGCAGCGCGCCAATGCCGTCGTCGCCGAGCGCCGCCAGCTGGCGCTGCGACACGCCGACCGAGACGCGACGTCGCCCGTCGCGCACCGCCGGCGTGCGCAGCTCGGCCAGCAGCGTGGCCAAATCGGCGCCCGTCAGCGAGCGCCGCTGCCGCGCCAGGAACGAGCGCGCGCGCGTCGCCGGCGAGCCGCTCTCGTCCAGGTCGAGCGGCTCGGCGCTGCCGTCGAACGCCACCTCCTGGTCGCGGAGGAACTGCTGCAGGTCGGAGCCGGCGGTCGCCGAGCGACGGCCGGCGGCGCGCCGCAGGATGCCGGCGCGTAACACTGAGCTGCGCCGCCGCGCGGGCGGCGCGCGCCTGCCGCGTGGTGACTGCGGCGTGCTCAGCGGCGACGCCGTCTCGCCGACCCGACCCAGCAGGCTCGACACTGACTCAGATGCCACACTCAGTTCCATGGTGCACTGCTACTCAAGATCAGCCTGAAAATCATAGATACTTATTGTCACTGCAGAGCAACATGATCTAGTTAAGTTGTTATGATGCTGATGATATTTTAGGTGTTTCTTGGTTGCATTATCTTTATATGTAATTTGATCAATTTCAGTCAGAATCACATTATTAGCAAGTGGAATACCAAGTCCTGTGAACTTGCTGCAGACACTCTTGAAAGATGGTGGTTTTACATGGTGTCTACCTGTACAGAACACACACACACACACACACACACACACACACACACACACACACACACACACACACACACATACACACATATATACATATATATATATATATATATATATATATATATATATAATGTTCACAACACTGCAAACTGGCCCATACAGGCCTGTGCAACACATAAGTATTTCATAACATCATTGGTGTTTTGCAATGTGCTCATTTGTTGACAGCATTCCAAAATTCATCAGTAGAGCATGCAGGATGTAATTAAAAATTCATGCCACCAAAGTCTTGGCTCTAGTGTGGTGCCCCACCCAATTCTTGGTGCTAATCTGTTACCCTTTGACCCTGAACCAGATATCTGAGGTACTCAGCCCATTTGTCAAGCCCAAGGCCCATAAATACTGGTTTAACAGCTGTGCTGTTAGATGCTGATTGACTAATTTTGAACAAGGGGAGGGGCAACTGGTAGTGAACTACAGGCTGGGGTGCAACAGCATGAAAAATATTAATAATCATGCTGCCCAAACGATGAAATATTGGAACACTCTTTGCTCAAAGTGTAACCAAGGCTAAATGATGCTGCCAGACTCCAACCTGGGAGGAAAGGGCAGACACTCATTTGGATTTCATAACTTTATAAATTGGAACACTCTTTGCTGGAAGTGTAACCAAGGCCAAATGATGCTGCCAGACTTTAACCTGGGAAGGAAGGACAGACACCCATTTGGATTTCATAACTTTACTGAGCATTGTCAGAAGTTTGGTGCTTGAATCCATACTCATTGCATGATCTTAACTTATCCAAATATCACTTCTAATTATGTGCTATAGATCCATGTTAAGTGAGGAAAACTGTTTATAATGACAATTTTTCAGAAAACACCCGCAAGTACAAGTCATGTCCACACCAGCACAAGGCGCTATGAATATATTATAGCCGCCAGCATTGAGCACAATTTTGAAACCACAACAGAACAAACCACACCACAGGTATGCATGATATGCGTGGGCTAATTTTCAGGAGTCAAAATGCCACAAAACTGAACATTGAAAAACACGTGCGACGGCCATCGCGTGGAAACAGGATGGTCCATGGGGACTCGTCGAAGGCCACCCACTTCACCCACTTCGTGGGACAATCATCGACTACATGAAAGGTTTTGCATACCGATGTCCAAATCTGGCGGGCGCGCCTCTCCTAAATATTGCGCGCAATTTCGCACGTGCGGCCGACCGCACCCAAACCGCGCGACCGAGTCGCTCTTTTGAAAAGACGCTCAAAAACACTTTTCATCTATGGCGCGGTGAAGGCAAAAGATTTACGTACCGCAGTCACTAAAGTACTGTCTAAATCGCCGATGCCACTCTGTAGCTTGCATCTGGAGCACTAGCACCGGTGACTAGTGCTGTCGTACGCCTATCTTGCATCACTTTTCCGTTTGTTCATCGGCTCCGTGGAGCGAAACA